GGTTATACCATGGCTTCATTGTGGTGTGTGTCATCAAGTCTTTAAACGTATCAAGACCCTCTAAACCGCTCAGTACTCCATACACAGCCTGTAGAAAAGACATGAACAGCAGCCGATCAGATATTAGGGACTTTAAGCAGTCAGGACGGCAACGCCACGGAAGACGTCGATTAAAAAATGAGTTTCTACTTTTAGTTAGAATTTCGAAAATGGCTGCATGTGTTTACCGTCTCATAGGGCGCCAGACCTCAAACTCAACATAACGCATAAAAGTAGCGTTGAGTTCCAAATGTAAATTAAAATAATTTGCCGCCGCGGTTTCGCTTCGCAGACGACGCAAATTTTGGTGATTTCACGTTGTTGTTTTGCAAAGGACGGCTAAGAAATGTACAAAGTTTTAAAACGCACGTGCTGGGCTATTGTTCTGCCAATTAGATCTATTGTGTTTCCCCGTTCTCGTAGCCGTAGCGGTCGTGGTTTGCTTAAATTCCCTATTATTAACATTGCAACGGAAAATACTTCAGTCTTACCCACAATTTTAGCACTTTAATAAAATGAACATCGTTTCTACCAACTTTGACATACGATTGATCTTTTTCCGGTGTTTGTTGACAGGAATTTCGTCACGCAACAGTTTTTCCATAGGTTCTTGCATTACAACAAGAACATGGGCGGAACATTCAAAAGCTTAGTAACCAGGCATTAGTTCGGAATAGAAAATCACAACATTCACGACACCTTTTTCATATGTTCCTGCAGATAAGCCGCACCGCTAATTTCTAGCGACGATTTTTGGCAAAAAAGGTGCGGCTTGTCTGCGGGTTTTTACAGTACTTGTGATCTATTACTATGCAGACCCTTGGCGACATGGAATCTGCTTCACAAAAACAAAATTGTAACAAATAAGAAAGATGTAAGTTTTGGGCGTGGCAAAGTAATATAGAATAATATAGACTATAAATCATAGGGAAATCAGAAATTTTTCGGTATCCCATACTCGCGACTAGACGAAAAACAACTTTCTAAAAACAAAATTATTTTTCTGATTATTTGCTAACTACTTTGAATTACTGCATCTTTGGCCATGCCGAAAAAACTAGAAATAAAAAAAAAAAACAGTTAATGTATAATGCAAATCATAATAAAGCATTCACCACAACCAGTGGATAAAAATTGATATTTATTTACCTTAAAATTGTGATTAATATTTCTTACATCAATTTGAAGATAGCTACATTTAATTTATTTACAAACAAATGAAAGTGTATCATATTTACAAACAAATGAAAGTGTATTATATTTACATGTATCTCAATATAATGAAAGACTGAAATATTAATAATTACAAGTAAACAAAAGTCATTTGAAGTGGCTGATATCTAGACTACAAGCAGTCCCTACTTTTTAGCAGAGTCTTTCCTGCATGGAAAAGTTCCACGCAGTCTGCTACGATTGGTGTTTTATTCCACTTATTTTTCTTTGGTCACAAATGCCTTTGTTGAAAAAGGAGGGATTGCTTGCAGTCAGGCTGATATCTCCCACATACCACACAAAAAAAGAGTATCACAATTCTAACACATTTTCTTGTGAATAATAACGTATTTTGGTTATGGCAATAAACAAAACTGATAACAAGATCAAAAGCTACATAGGTTTAGTGTTGCTCTATGCTTTTCAAAGAAGAATCTTAGCATCATGTTCACCTTAGATATCTCCATTTGCCATTCCTTCTTATTCAACCACCTTGTTAAACCACTTTGGGCCAAGAAACCCAACCAATGCACTATTTACCAAAGTTCAAATATTAACTTGCTTTACTGCCTTCCTATCTATTTCCTCTAGAAAGAATTTTGTTGTGATCATTGTACCCTCACTTCAAACCACGCTACACTCCCCATAGAAATTTTAAGAGTCAATCTAGACCCAAATTTACATGTGGTGATCAAAATACTAGTAATTTGTTACTGAAAACATGAAAAAAAGATACTACAGTACATCTGCTGAATCTACCCAGACAACTAAAACCGTCAATAGTTTACACCCTAACCTCAGTATGTATATTCTCCATACTGTTCTCTATTCATTTCCTAAGGTGCTGACAAGGAGAATTTGTTCAATGATCGAGAGGTTTTTTAGTTGGTGATCATTTCCTTAATTCTCATGACTTTCATGAGTGATTCACGGGTGATATTGTAAGGAGAAATTAGATGCTCATCACTCTTAGAGGTCAAAGGATTAGGAATCAATTAAGACCCTTTTTGAATGAACAACAATTCACCTACGTGCTAAAAATTGCGACAGTACCTAAACTTAAACTTTTTTATTTTATTTGTATACTCAAGAAGAACAACTGAGCACAAGTCAGAAAGTCAATCCTTAGCAGAAATTAATGAACATTAGTGCTTACAATGTTTGTTAAGGGTGAACAAACACTATGTACAAAGCAAGAAATTAAAAAACATTCTTCTGGGAGGAAAAGAAAAGAATATGAAAGGGGAAAAGGAAACTGTACACAAAGTTGCAGATAATTAAAAAAACTAGTGTGGATATTGTACTGCTTGAGACCATCATCATGATTTTGCAATATAATACATTCTTGGATTTTCTGTAAAGGTTTCATTTTCCTGAAAAACCAAATCAGACTAACAAAAAACACAGTATTGTATGCTACTTTTTTTTAACCAGCTTGTCTTGCAAAGTAGTAATATTAGAGACCTTAAGCAGTGAGGACAAACGTTCTTGGGAAGACATTGATTAAAATGTGAATTTATATTTTTAGTTAGAATTTTGCAAATGGCTGGCACCACACCTGAACTTCATTGCAAGCAGCATTGAGTTCCAAATGGAAGCTAAATAGTTTGATTTCATGTTGTTGTTTTGCAGAGGATAGCTAACAAATGTACAAAGTTTTAAAACACACATGACCAGCTATTGTTCTCCTCATTAGATCTTTTGTTTTACCATGTCCTTATGGCCATCACCATCCTGGTTTGCTAAAGGTCTCTTAACACTCCTACTGAAAAATTGAAGGAGTTCACTTTGCAAGATTTGGGGAGTGTTATGTACAAAAAAGTATCAAAAAAAAAAAAAAAAAGACAGAGAAAAACTAACACTTAAAATGAAAAAATATTGCAATTTTGATTTTAGATTTATTTTTCTATTAGAATCCTACTGAGCTTGGAGAATATCTTTACCTATTAATTAATAAACAAAAAATAAATTAGACATAAAAACTGTTTTCTAAACTCACATGGTACCAGAAATTAATCGTCTTCATTGCTACCGACACTTTCCAGGACAGATAAACTGTCCTTATCAACCGTGCTTCCTTGATGAGAAATATTCGTAACAGATGTTCGATCCACAACATCAGCTTCCACTACCATAGCCTCTGTGATAGATGAAGACGTTCCTATTCCTTCGCATGAATTGATGTTAAAATTGTCAAAGCTGCTGGCAATGCTCACAGTGCAGCTTCTAGGACCTGGGATGAGGGAGGCATGGCTGTCACCGTCACCAACACCTCTGGGGCCAATAGTGCTGCTGTCTAAGCTGGAACAGTCCTGACTCATGCTAATACTGGGTTGCTTACCGCTTTCTGTGTCTGAGAGAGATGATACTATGTCAGCATGGGCAAGGGAGCAAGGATGGCACAGTGATAAATAAAAAGCACACTGTTCCCACAACTGTGACCCATTGTAACCCTCACCCTAAGAGCATTCCCTTGAAAGACATTTAAAAATTCAGTAAATTACTCTCAAATGATTTAACTCCCTTGGTATCTAGTTCTTTTCTTAATTTACCCCTCTTGTCAATTCAACTTAACAGGGATCTGTTTCTCAAAAGTTCCAGTAACTTAACAGGCCCCTAAAGCTGTTCTGTTATCATTCAAGATGGGGAATTCAAAAGTTTTGAAAACAATACAATAAAACCATCAGCTAAAGAAACAAAAAGGACTGGTTTGGGTACCAGAACCTGCTTTCCTATCCATTAAATTTCGATTTTAAAACATGGCTTCGGGCCTGTAAGTTTCCGGGACTCAAGAAATGGGCCCGTGAACTCAAAAGTGGGACTTGACCCTTCCACTCTCAGGAGAGACAAGAAAGTCATTTCTCCTAATAATATCCATACATTTTCAAGCAGAACAGTGCCGAGAAGAACAAAAATATTAATAAATGGAGGGTTTTTGATTGAATTCACACCAAATTCTCAGTCCTATGGTTGGAACATAAGTTATTAGCAGACAGGATAGTAAAGGCCTGAATTTTTTTCAGGCCTTATTTTCAATACTGCTTAAAAGTAGAGTTCATTACTGCAAAGATTGATTTCATATTCAGTGTGGAAAATTGATATTTAGGTATTGGATGGGAATGAAAGGTTTGGGTATCCTCATTTGTCTCAAGATGAAGTCTCTTTGTAGATCACTTGAGATTGTGCTACAGAAGGTCAAAGGATTATTTTAAGTCATCAAACACTGTTATCTGACAATTTGCACTTGATTACCTGTTCCTCTGTTGTTGACAGTGGCCACGACTGTAACCACCCCGGTTGAAGACCCCTTTTCACCAACTCTCATGCTGCTTCTGCTGCTAGATTGCGATGTACCAAACACCCCAGCTACACTGGCTGTCCCTTGGTCTCCATCTTCATCGAAATCAAGGTTCACTCCCTTACCATTCCGAATATTGGTCACTGTGGCACAACCTCCACTGCGGCAGAGAGAAACTGGCACTACACCATAGATATACCCAAGAGCAATTGGCACCCCAACACCCACAGTTAGAGCAGCTAGGATGGGTGATGCAAGGACAGAGAGGGTGACTGCCCCAGAGATGGCCAAGTTCCGCTTCCTTCTCGATTGATATGGCTTGTCATACTTGTCATGTACCTGTATAGAACAGTTTCACCTTTCAACCCCCAAGTTATGATTAAAATGGTTAATTCTCCCTTCTAGCTACTACACATCTCCTTGTAAATAAGTTACAAGAATTTGGTGTTAGATCAAGGTAACTTCTACCTGATAAGTTTGAGTATTCGCATTACCTGTTTGCTGGATAATGTATGGATCTTATAGGGAGAAGTTACCTATAAATCAGTTCTGGGACTTAAGGAAGAATGCACCTGTCACTAAGGTCTACTTTAAGAATCTTCTGAGATGAAAAAATTATGAAGTTTACACTTACACTTAAGCTGTTAAAACAATTTGGATAAGTACCAAAAGGCTCTTGAATAAATATAGTATGCAAGTTTATCATCCTTTTTTCTGGCTTGTTCCTGCCTTGTCAAGGTGTCAGTTCTAATTCATATCATTTTTCATCAACCTACTACAAGAATTCCTGTGCAAAACAAAATTATTTCCCACTTCAATTTTAGTCAAGAAGACTCTCATGATCAGAAGTCTTTCTGTGAGAGAGGTGGGTTGTGTACACATTTACACAGAACTAAACAAAGTGGAAGACAAACATCCATCAGGGATTGTGACAGTCAAAGGGAGGCTCTTACCTGTCGGCCAACATACACAGGAATACCAATCACCATGGCAGGAAGTACCACCCCTGCAGCAAGAGCTATTCCAAGAGGTGCACCTATAAGTGTTCCCATTTGCCAGAGGATTTTCTTCTTACGACTCCAAGGCTTTTTACCCCAAAAGGTACAACCAGAAGGGCTAAAGTGAGAAAATAAATTTTCATTTTTGTCAAAGATTATTACCAGATTTGATCACAATGAAAACAAAATTCTGGAAACCAATTTGAGCATGAGTTGGACAGTGTACATGTCATGCTTATAATAAGAAATTTAAACAACCCGCCTGTGTAACTAGGCAGTATCCATCATGAGTGAGCTCTTCTCGTGCATTTTGCAAAGTTAATTGTTGTTTTACATGGAAAGGTATGATGGATTGCTAGTTTGGCTCCCAAATTTTGTGTACATGTCGGTTTTGATTGATTTGTAACAGGATTTTTGTTGTCCAATTCCATCTGTAACCATATTCATGATTAACAAGTCAGATTCACACTTTGCAGTAGTCTAGTTTTGCATAGGACTGAGTGAAGTCCAATTTTGGCATTTTGCATTTTCCGAAAAGAATGCAGTAAACTTTCGAAAGCAAAGAAACGAAGCTGAGTTAAAAATGTCAGCGAGTTTGTAGATAAGCATGTTGCATGCGGCTGCTTAGCAAATTTTCACTCGGGACCACAAATGTCAACAGAAGGGCTTTTCCTATGTTCCGATTCGCAAACACCAATCAGTTTACTTCTTGTATATGAGATTTCTTTAGCAACATTGGAAACTTCGGTAAGCTTTCCAAAGTAAAAAAGAGAGAGGGTTTTTTTTAAGTGGGAACTAACGTTTTATTCAATGTTAACAAGTTGCCACCGTTTCTTTGATGAACGGTTGGTATAACTTTTAAAAGGTGCTGCAGCAAAAGTCAAATGGTTAAGATCTTAGCATTGTTCTTCAGTAGCGAAACATTTTTATTAGTTTACAGAGGAAAGATGTTTAAAAATTTGCAGTTTTCAAACCAGACCTGGAGAACTCAATTGGAAACCCAAAGCCTTCGATATTTTTTTGCTAAGCAGTGCCGTTTGACGCAATGGCTATGGCATCATCATCTTTAATAAAAGTTCCGGCTTTCCACTTTTAATTATAAAGTTAATTTTAACAAAACAATAGTGTGTCAAAACATAGTTCGAGCATGAAACTCGAAACAAAAGAAATATATCACACCTAACATCAAAGTGCTTACAATCGTGCAAGCTAGCTACATTTTTGGAAATTGTTCGTGCCGTGAATAATGAATTTTCAATTAGAAAAACAATAGACTGCATATATGAATACTTAATCGACCCACAAAAATGTGGGTACACGCTTAAACCGTCGTGAAGTTGTAATGTAATGTTTAATGACCAAGTTCAGTTAGGAAAATATTGGGCTCTTGGTCACAACACACAGGCTGCACTGCACTTGGTCTCAATGTCAAACTCAGGTTAATATTTTTCCCATCCAGACCTTCTACTCAGTCAATAAGTACGTGATACTCCAAGGCATAATTACACCAAGATCCAGCCCACCAAGGCATAATTACACCGAGATCCAGCCCACCAAGGCATAATTACACCGAGATCCAGCCCAGGCGGGCCCATGAACTTCTTAACCCCCACTCCATGATGCTAAATAAGCCCCACATCTCCCACACAAACAACTACAAGAATGACTTTCAAGTTCGACTCCCACAAATCCTTAGGCTATTGAAGGTGTTTTTACATCACCACCATGGCACATCTTTCTAGACAACCTCTTGCACAGAATGACACGATGCACAACGGAATGACATGACGGTGCCACATAGTCACATAACTTTAAACCTTGGCATAGAAAAACCAAAACATTTAGGTAGCTGGCTAAGGAAAAGTAGGATCTGTTACAGGAGGGACAATGCTCCTTTAACTAAGAGTAGGCAATAGCAATACTGAAACAGATACATAAAATTGTAAAAATGAAATTTTAAAGTGCATACCTCAAGTAATGGAGATCTGAAATTTCTTTCATGCACAACCAACAAAACTCTGCTCCACACACTGCACAAGTCATATGATTGCAAGAACCATCATCCATCTTGATAATAAAAGCTCCACATCTCGGACATGGTTTCATGTCATCCGAACCACTTGACCTTCGTCCTTCAGATCCAGAAATGGATTTGATGTGAGTAGCTCGCCGAAGTCGTGCTGAATCACAAGTCAAATTAGGATGCCATATTTGCTTGCAGTGATAACAGAACTCAGTGTTACATCCAGGTCTTTCACACTGCAGTTTCGGACAGCTTGCACATCCTGATGCTATGACTGCAAAGCCGCAATCTGGAGCTGGGCACCAGCGACAATCAGGATCGGCAACTAATGTTCTCCGAAGAGTAAACTCGTCGTATTTCGCCATAAGGACATCATCATTTAAAATCAGTTTAATATCATTTGGATGAAATCGTTCCGAACATTCAGGACAAGTTAAATTCACTCGCGATTCATTTATTTCGATTGTCATGTACTGCCGCAAGCACTCAAAACACGATCGATGTTCACAAGTTGATATTTCGGGGAACAGAGATTTCGCTCTCATCGCATAACAAACTGGGCAAATAGCCAGTGACTCCGTGCTGTTTTTACGGGTGAATTTATCCGTTGTGTTCTCCCCTTTGTATGTCTTGGATCGTCCAAACAACCGTCTGAGTGGAAATCTTCGATCGTCATTTCGATTTTGTTTCGAAGACGGCTCGTCCATAACAGTTCCTCTGCTCCTTTCCACATCAGTCCCACTGTCTTTCGCCATGAATTTAATTAAATCCCCCCGTTCGAACTTAACAAAAACACAATTATCAACACAACTTCATTGAATCCAATCTGTCACGTATTGTACATTCGTACGATTTCTCCCTAATTCAGGGCATGAGCTTAAATTTATACACTTAAAGCACTTCCACATTATAAAAATATAGTGCCGACGACGAAAGTGGCACAATATTACAGGCCATTACGCGTTTTGAGACGAATTTAGCTTAGTAGGTAATTTTCCCTTCCAATACGTCCGTGATATTACTGAATAACATGAAACGCTTTCTCATCTCTGCGGAAACAATTGATAGGCCTTAATACTATCTTACCCTGGTATCCAATAATCTGCTAAAAAAAAAAAAATAAAATTACGAGGAAAATACAACAGCTCTTTTCCTTCTCGTTTCTTAAGTCCCCAGAATCTTCCGTTAGCGACGGCAGTATAACCAAAACAAATTGAACATCTTTTTTAGAAATATGACAAAATTAAAAACTGCGTCGACTTATCACGGAAGAATTATCCCATGAAAAGGAAAAGCTACATGATAACTCGAATAAAGAAAACTCACGACGAATAATCTCACTTACCTTTCCTGGTTACATGATCTCCTGCGTCAAATCTCAAAATTACATGTCAGACATTCCACTTTAACGCCTTGTAGCTTGAACGAGTTTTAGCCCACGAACGCGAATTTGATACGAGGAAACGGTTTCTGTTGTTAACCTTTCTGAAAAGAAACTCAAATTGCAAAGATTGAAAAGTCCCTTTAAATGTATTCTTGCCCAGCAAAGCCTTTACTTCCGATGCATTTCCATTTAAAACAACCAAACTGAATTTGAATAATGTTCAACCTTGCAACTCAAAACAGTCTAGCCGTTTCCAAGCGAATACTTGCGAGCTGAAAAATACTTAACCAAAGCCTAACACGGAATCAATTTTGAGAGAATATAACGAAATTCTACGAGGTAGTGCGAACAACTATGGAAGCAAAATGATTTCTCAACCAACAACGGCAAAATAAACGTTTCTCTTGTCCGAATCTTCCTAGACCGATCTTGAATTGTTTCCCCAGGTCATGTGACCACTTGGGCGAAGATGACGTCAAACGTTTCCTTTTTCATTAGTTCCCATGTCCTGGGGGACGATAGAAACAATTCATTTTTCGAAGCCGCAGGATGTAAATCAAAATATTAGTTAAATGAGATTTGTGAGATCCAGGAAGTCTTTCATTTTTCTCAGCTTTGGCTTTGTAATACTGCTTTTTCTTGTTACACATTGGAGATCATACAAACTTCTTGTTGAAAAAACCCACGACGAAAGAGTGACACATGATCAAAACATTAAGCTTGGAAGTCATGATCAGCTGAGCCGAAAGATGACCCAGCAAAACTGCTCGCCGGAAAGTGGCTTGCAAACATCCGCCCACTGCAAAAAGAAAGGTGACGATCCAAATCTATGGTTTGTCACCGCTTTGATGTCAGTCCAATATGTGTCATATCATATTTTTTCCTTCTAACTTTCCGTTTTAGAAGGCAACTTCTATTTTATATTCCTGGAGACAAATTAGTTCCTTTAATTAATTGATTTCTTAAATTTGGAGCCGGTTATCGCATGACTAAACAGTGCAGGTGATTTCCAAAAATAGGAACGAAAGTTCAAACGTAATAGGGCACTAAACCTGAGTTCAAAAGTCTGTGAAATTGACAAATAGATTCTATGTCAATGCAAGTGCGTCAGATCCTGATGACGTCAAAATGTGGAAAGGTGTAGCTGAGTGTGTTACAGGTGTTCTTCCACATTATTGTGATTAATTACTGCACAGACCCTCTATGTTATATAATAACAAAGCAGAATATTGCTAATTGTGATGTCACCAATGCATCTGTCCTCCATTAGATCATAGGTAAGAACCACTCAAAATGTGTGTATTATTCAGCCTGTTGTTTAAACAACAAAAACCTCTTATGGCTCATGACTCATTGATCCTTTGGAGTTCCTGAAAAATCTGTGATCTTTTTTCCTGTTCCAGGAAATCCCCTCTATGATGAGGAAAAAGTTTAGAAACCACTTTAATGGAAACTGATAGATTCTTGTAAGGCTAATTCACTTTTCAAGGGACTTTTAAGAATAAAATAGTATGACAACAGTTTTATTACTTGTGTTTAACTTTTGAACTCTGGTGTGGAATCTCTGATTTGCATGCTGGAAAAGACAATAGGCATACAGCCCCAACCCCCTCATAAACAAGTCCCCCTCCTGACATTTTATGGCTTCAGTCAGCTCTGCTCCTCAAATCAACATTGGTCAACTTCATTTGTTTGGCTGATTGTGAACAGTGTCAGCATTAAAGGAGCATAGTACCAATGACTGAAGTGGGGCCAGGACGGGGGGGAGGGGGGGGAGTCCTGATTCCATTTCAGGCAAAAATTGGAGAAAAATCCAGGTGTCACATATATTTAAAACAGTATTTCATATGACACCAATTTAAAAAGGAAAAGTTTAAATCTCACCCTAGCTTGCCTTTCTGTAACATTCATAGATCACATTATTATTTTTGGGCTTAAACAGGCATCATGTATAACCCTAACCCTAACCTAACCCTTAGCCACTCCTTTAGTGTGGTTAGCTGTACAAAGCACCAAAATTATGCAATTTAAACTTAAAGCCATGTTCTCAAAATGTGCGCACACTTAATCGCCCAATTACGTGATTTTTACGTGCAGTACAGGGGGTGTAGTACTCTCTGACTTTCTCTCTCTCTTGCTTTTGTTGCAGGGGTTTCAAAATATTTTAAAGTAGGCGGCCAACATAACATAACATAACATTTATTCAGGAAGCTACAACACAAATGTAAAAAATACATCTTGAAAAGGGAAAATCGTGAGGTTAGCCCTGTGTAAAAACAACTTCCCTATCAACTCGGGAAAAGTAGGCGGCTGTGATAATGCCGAGATTGTTTGTTACAAGCAGACTGCTATGACCAGAGTAGCCGGCGACATACCATCAAGTGGCCGGTGGAACTCTGGCGGTCGCCAGCTTGTTTTGAGTCACTGTTGTTGGGAGATGTAGTTTTTCCCTCAGAAAAATCATAACAGCTGATAGGTGATTACTGTTATTCTCCATTTTAGGTGTTTTAGGGGTGGCACCCTCAAACGCATCAAGTTATCAGCCTAACCAACTGGGCTTCTTTGCATGTTTTGATGGAGAACTGAGCATCAGTTGGGCATTTGTTAATGATGATTACTGTGATTGTCCCGATGGTAGTGACGAACCAGGTACCGGAGCATGTCCAAACACCAGGTGAACACACCAAGCCAGAGTTAGACAAATAGCAAAATTGATCAGACAGAGGTTGGCCTGTGGACCAGGCAGATTTTTTTTTTTTTTTTTTTGAGTTTTTTTTTTTATGCAAGTGTCACCAGGGATATGGAAGAGACAAAACAAATTGTCGTTCTTGCTCACCTCCTGCTCTCCCCTGACAATTGTCTCTACTTGCCTAAAAATATTCGAAAAAGTGCTGTCTGTTCTGCAAGCTGAGATTGAAGAGTAGTGAAAGCTTCAGTGATGTCTTTAAAACCCTTCAAACCACTAAGAATCACCAGCATCTAGTTACCTAAGGTCTCTAATATCACTACTTTTTTTGCAAGATGTGCTGGTAAAAATATTAGCACAAGGTATTGTGGTTTTTGTTTTGCTGATATTATTTAGATTTTCAATAAACTGAAGGATATACTATGCTGCAAAATCATGATGACAGTGTCAAGCTGTACAATTTATTCTCATCGCTTGTCTGCTTGATGATGGTCATGAATATGCAGGTTTATGATTGTCATTCTAACTTCCACAATTTTCTCAGGACTCTTTACTGTCTCTTCGCTAAGTTGATGATTTTGTCTTTTTTAGATTCTACTGCATTGGTGAAAATCGTTACTTGCCTTCTTCTCGCATCAATGATGGAATATGTGACTGTTGCGATGGATCGGATGAGTGGAAGAAAGAGACAGTCAGAGAAGATGTGTTACAGAAACATAACTTTGACATTAAATATGTGCCCTGTGCAAACTTCTGTTGATGGCAGTTTTACTGCACAGTAGATAGTTGAAACTTTAGTGGCAGATTTCTTTTGGATGAAAAAAAGTAAGCTCTGTAGTTCAACATCCAGGTGATGATAATTTAACTGTTTCTCTCTGCAAAAGTAAAAGCACTATCTTCTTAAAACTGACTTTAATTCGACATAAATGAGCTGACAGACAGAGAATTGATCTAAACTTACCTACAGTTGATAAGCGACCTTCCGAATTGTCAAATCCAGGTGGTCGCTTATTTGAAATGGTCGCTTATGTGAAATGGTCGCTTATCAGAGGTCAGGCCACAGAAGGTCCATATTTCAGGTAATTTGCATATGATGATTGCACCCTTTTGCCAGCACTTATCAAAACCTATTGCAATAACTTTTAGCAACTTATTCAAGGGAAAAATAACTTAGATCTCTGGTGATTTTTTAGTATTTCGGGAAACGCTTCCATTTGGTCCATTTTTAAGATATCTGTTGAAACAACTTTCAGTTTCATCCTTCATTACAAATGTTCATAGTAATGGAACTTAGCAAGGTGCTAACCTTCAGTCACATATCACATACCATCACAGGTCCATTAAATATTTTAAGAAGGTATAAAATGCACAAGGCATCAAGACCAGACTCTGAACAACAGCAAAATGAGCCTAAACCAGGCACTTTATAGGATGTTAAGAACTTTTCAATTTACTTGGAGTATTGGGGGGCATTCATGAACCAGACTTAAATTGTACCAAGGTGGTAAATAACTGTTGGGCATATTTTTCAATGCAATAGAAATTCATGACCCATGCAAATTTTGGGTTACTCATAAGAAAGCCCAATTTCAAAATATACAAACCCCCTGCGACATTCCAATTACCAAGCCTTGCATGTTGAGTGGATTGAACATTTTTTTGTGTGAACATGAGTGGGTCCTGAGTTATTTGAATGCTGCTGTGTGTAAGTAATTTTGAAAAGAAACCACTTTAAAAAGTGCTAGTAACTAAAACTGAATTTAATGTCTGAACCATGGGAGACCATCAGGACATTACAAGGCTTCTTGTCTAACAAATACATCTTTCAGTATTTGTGTTTGCCAAGTGTTGTAAGATTCATTGCTATTGCTACGCATCAAAGGTGAATTTATCAACACAGTCTACAAGTCTTGCACCATTTGAGTTTATAATTCAAAGGCAGAGCTTCAGTTGAACTTAAACTAAGACTGATTAAGCTGAGAATTTAACCTCCATACCTTAGGCTAACATCAATATCTAAATTCTCCACATGCTTCTCCCTACATTTTCTTTGGTACTGACTAGGAGAAATTTTTTAACAATCAAAGCTTCAAGAAATTATATTCTAGTTCCTTCTTAGTCTTTTGTGGCTTTTTAAGTTCAAGTTGTGTGGAATTCACCAAGAAGAAAGTAAAAATCAAACCAAACATTGCCCTCACAAAATAAGTTTTATTCAAACATAATGAAGGATTATTAACATTTATTTTGCTGCCTCTTCCTCTTTTGCAATTTGCTGGATCATTTCCTTGCGTTTCTGCTCCAAACGTTCCTCTCGTCTTTGCTTCGCAGCCTTGTTTTTCTGGCGGCGAGCCTCAGCTTGGTCACTGCGATGAGACAAAACATTTCACTTTTATTATCCTTGGACCCTTTAAGTAACTTCTCTTAACTAATAGCATACATTTTTTTGTTAAATGTTCCACAAAATTCAGTGTTTCATCAAGACAATATCTCCAGATTGAAACTTTCCTTGATTCTTATTAGCTGTCTGCATGTCACTCAATGTAAGGAGAATTTATGTGCTGGTCACTCTTAGGAGTTTTTCCTACACTTTCCTTGCAATGTGGTAGAATGAGGAACATGAATTTCAGAGGAGCCCAGGACCAATTCAGTCAGTAAGCACTCACTGATCAGTCAGAACAAACTCCTTTAATTGTTTTACGCACGCTTAGTCACCCATCCTCAATGAAAATGAGGCCAGGCCGGCTTAATAGTGTGCGACACAATTGACAGTGAAATAACATGCCAATTGGACGGTTAAGTTCATTAAACAGGTCATTACAAACTTAAGAAAGACAACTGTTATTGGGAGAACCAAAACATAAACTAGTGGATGACCAGTTATAATTAAACAAGATGATTTGGTTTTTTCAACTGAAGTGTTCTTAAGAAATGGCCACCCTAAAGAGGTTACAAAGTTGATGTTTCAAGCTTCAGCCCTTCATTATTGACTCTGACAAAGGGCTATTGCTCAAAAGATCACCTTTACAGCCTCTCTATGGAGGTAAAGTCACATCATCAACTCAGCTGATGGAACCAAATTATCTTGTAATAGTCCCTCCCAGTCCACCAATGCAGCACCACAGTTTCTTTAGAAACTTACCCTGTTTATAATTTAACAAATAGTCTTGGAAAAAAGTTTTACTATTATTGTAACCTGAGCAAGATTACATTGTACTGTAAAGTTGTATTCACAGAGAAAAAACAAAACTCCTTAGTTTGGCTCCAGATCTAATACAGTCAAACCTTCATTAACCAGAACTTGGTTGTCCTGATTTTTCAATTATCCAGACTTGCTTCTCTGGTCACATTATTTAAGAACATTTACATTCATATTTCAACTACCCTGAATCTTGATTATCTGGACTCTTGATTAACCAGACTATCAGGCAAGTCCAGATAATCAAGGTTTGACAACACAATCACCTAATATGCACAGGACTTTCCTGCAATACCAAATCCATCTTTGAGAAAATTTTTCTAACCACAAAAATGGTTGAAGACAACACACTCACCTGAGGAGTTTGGCACGTTGCTTCTCAGCCTTCTTCCTGTGGATGTATTCCATCAAGACACTCTTGTTTTTGAACACATTACCCTTAGCCTTCATGTACAGATTATGGTACATGTGGTTGTCAATCTTCTTTGCCTCCCTGTATTTTCGAAGCAACCTCCGCAACACCCGCATACGTCTCATCCAGATGGTCTTTTCAGGCATACGAGCATTTGCCGTACCTTTCCTTTTACCATGGCCGCTGTGTCTACCCTTCTTTCTGGCTTCATCTGCCTTTCGAACACGAGCGCGGCTGTGGATGATCTGTGGCTTTTTGATGATCAAACCATCTTTGACAAGCTTACGGATATTCTGACCTACAAATAACAATGAGTTCTTTATCATTCCTTCAATCACTGTCTAATGAAATGAATTTTCTTCATGATAACAACATGCAACATAGAATTTTTAAATAATATATTTTACCCTATGCCTGGTTGACAGAATAACTGCTGATGAAAACTTACCACACACTTCACCCATAAATTACAGAATAAAAATAAACAGAAACAACATCAACCCCAAGTTAAATTTTGAGATGTGGAGACAATTCATAAAGGTGCTTCATTAAGAGTGACCCACTAACAGAACAAGTTTAGCCTTTGGTCACATGGGAAATTTTATTGCAGTTAATCATTTTACTCCTAGAAGTGATAAACACATAACTTCTCCCTATAAAACCCAAACATTATCCCATTATCCAGCAAACAGTTAATGAGAATACTCAAACCTATCAGTTAGAATTTGTTACCTTGATCTAACACCAAATTCTCTTAACCAATTTAAAAGGAAATTTATAGAGGCTAGAGGGGAGAATTAAAAATTAGGTCATAAGAGTTAAATGATAAAGGAACTGAGATTTTGAGACTGATCGCTGAAATGAAAAGGGTCAAAAGTTTAATGTTTATCTAAGATAAACAGGCAGGAGTCCTCAATTGGGACATTCCAGGCTAACTAACAATTCTATGAACTCACAAAAATTTTAACCAGGGAAAAAATGGTACATCAAGATCTCAGACAAAAAATTAGCCCCTTCAAACAGCCTCATAAGTCCTTAAAGTCAACCTAACTCAGAGCAGTCACAACTTACGTGAGTTGGCATTGGCAATTTCCTTTGTCTCATTAGGATCCAGCCAAATCTTTTTTTTTCCACATTTTAGGACACTGGCTGCCAGCCGCTTTTGTAGTCGCAAAGTGCTGGATGAGGAAATCAAACAAGGTCTCTAAGCATTGTTTGCTATGTTAAACAGGGTGTCCCTGAAACTATGTGTCATTATACATTTTTCAGGATTGCAGTTTGTACTTCAAGATAAAAGAAAACAGTATCAAAACTATACAGAATACAGTGCCAGTTCTTATTATCTCATTCCTGCAGGATTTCTTTAAGCTAAAACCCACAGGCCCTGCATTCTGCAGTTACCCCTACAACAACCTACAGCAACTTGTGGGTTTTTTAAAACACTTCTACCACAAATATTTTTAACCCTACATACAACTCAATCATTCAACAAAAACTTAAGCCGAGTTGGATGCATGGAGTTGCTAAGCTTGGCATGTAGAACTTATTCAAAACACCGTGATTGAACGCTCAAATTTATACAATTGTTATCTCTGAGTGTAATACCAGGGTAACATCACCATACATTTGCTACGATAAAAACCGGTTACATAAAACTGCATGACAACAAATTGCTGTTCATCAATTCGTAATAAAAATATGAAGAGTTTCATTTTAGGCCTTATGATAAAAAATTTTAATAAACGAGAGTAAAAAACTTAATCTACTGTTCTCGTACACAGAATTACAATGAAACAGATCGACTCTTCCAAACCAAGACACATGTAGACTTGAACATATCAAGTTTACTTATTTTCACGTGCACTGGTTCTAAATCGAATTTCTACGTGTTCCACCCCTTTTCTTCCCAAATAATCCAACAGTGGCGAAGAGAAGTTCTTCTCTCTCAGATCCAAGCCCACTATGTAAAATCAGAGCCAATTTAAAGAAGCAAACTACGTCAATATAGTTCAGAGGTAAATTTCTTCCCTACCTCATAATGGCGGCGATATGAAAGGGAAGAACGTGGTGGTGCAATTGCCTATTTGGGGGGTAAAAACATTTCTGCTAGGGTTTCAAACATTGCACGCAGACACGAACATTTGTTTATTGTGCACAGCGGGTAAACCCATTGGCAGTAAAGAAATTCACGTGGAGTTGTAAAAGTAATAGAGGTTTACCCTAAAATTACAAGGTTTTAATACTCAAAATGCCAAAATCAAAACGAAATAGGGCAGGTATGTATCCTCAGATGTACTTAAAGTGTAATCATGTTGGTAACGAGGAAAAACAGTGCCAAATGATGTAGTTTTTCCGAGAAAACATGTACCTCTAAATTGTAAAAGAGGTTTTTGAAGATAGAGTATTTTAAAGGAAGATCTAGGAGATTTTTATTCTTTCAATTACTTCTTCGATCTTTCTTTTAATTAAACTAGACGTTCTTTCTGAGGCAGTTTGACTTTTTTTTGCGCTTTTTACGTCGTTCTTCAAATAACCCTTTCTTTCTTTTACAGTTTCACTGACCAAAGCAAAGAAAAAGGGCTTGGAATTGAAAACAGGATTGGTTAAGGAGGTACACTGGCTAATGGTACAGCTATCAACATAGCTATTGATTAGTGTTTACAGCTGATTTTCTGATGGAAAAATTATGTGCCACGAATTTGATTTGTTTGTGAAATAGATTCAAGAGTGCGTGGATAATTATGCCTTCATCTACGTATTTTCTGTGGAAAATATGAGGAATAGTAAACTAAAGGAAGTGAGAAATGAATGGAAACATAGCAGGTAAGTTGACTGATTGCATAAGTTATTACTTCTGCATGATATCAATTGGTATGAATTCAGATGGTGGTTATCAGGCAATATACTCCCTCAGACATGCCCTCTGCATGATTAAGTTTAATCTCAAAGATTTTCGGGATTATCTTTGTTACCTCTCATGTTAAGTAGAGCGCTGGAATGTTGTGCGGGAGGTCGTGAGTTCAAATCCGGCCGGACCAACACTCGGGGTCTTAAATTAACTGAGAAGAGAGTGCTGCCTTTGTAATAATTTCTGCCAATGGTTAGACTTTCTAGTCTTCTCGGATAGGGATGATAAATGGAGTTCCCGTCTCCAGCAGGGTTGGGGTAGGAGGCGGTAATTGAACTAAGTGGAGTGCAATTTGGGCTGAAATCATATGCGTGATTTCAAAATTGAACGAGCATGCAGCGCGAGTTCGATTTGAAATTACAAGTATGATTTCAGACCAATTACCACTTTATTACATCCATTTTGAAATCGCCCAAATACAGGACTTGGTCAATTCAAATATTTTGCTGATGCAGTACTGAGCCGGTTTTTAAATAGCAGAACCGGAAACGCTTTTACATCTTATTTTGTGTGCAAAACAGAAAGACTTTGACGTCATGTGTCAAAAACTCAGTCAAGCATAAAATGATGCGATTTAAAGCAATAAATGGTGCAATTCATGAATAATTCGCACCATTTAGAGCCAATAAGATTACATGGACCACCAGTGATTTCAAAATAGATGTAATAAAACTCTTAACCCTTTGACCCTAAAGAGTGATGAGCATCTAATTTCTCCTTACAATATCACCCCTGAATCACACAGTAAGGTCATGAGAGTAAAGGAAATGATCACCCACTAAACAAGCTCTTGATTGTCAAACAAATTCTCCTTGTCAGCATCTTAGGAAATGTATAGAGAACAGTATCGAGAATATGCATTCTGATGTTAGGGAGGAAAGAGATTAACATTCCCTTAGCCACCAACTGACACAATATTAATGTTTAGCACCAAAATGGACACACTCCAAACAACAACTCTAACAAGCAGCGTATTTATTTTCTTAATATAATGCTATAAATATTTCTAAATCATATCTGTCTAGTTTCCTATTTTTTTTTATCAAAGACTATCTTAACAAAGTTCATTCAAACTTGATCTTGTAAAAAAAGACTATCACACTACATTTTCTGCAGAGCCATATATAACAGCAACATGCTTTGTGGTATTTGATCAAGTAACTTTAGATCTTCACATGCCGCAACAGACAAGTAACTTTCGACTTAGAATTATTTTAGCTGGTGTTTCTTGTTTTAGGACAGACAAACAGCTAACGCTCAAAATGTCAGCTTTGGAAACTCAATGGCCAATTTACATTTACAAGTCTGTTGATAAAACCAAATTATCTTGTAATGGCCCCCATGGACGCAGCACCACAGTCTCTTTCAAAAACTTACCCCCTTCATTTAATAATCATAGATTGTTCTTAGCCTTTAATGAAAAGTGAGAGAGTTTAAAAGTTTCAGAATCTAATTCCTTTCTTTAAGTACATCTTACTCTGAAGATGTAAATGAAATAGTATCAGCTGTGTAAAGTTGACTAAAAATATGTACAATTTATGTATTCTCTTTTGGACAGAAACTCTTTGGAAACCCACAAGCTGAATTTCACATCACTCTCCTGTGTATGTGGTCTCAGAGTGGAATATTTGAAGAGCTTACTTAGACTGTTGAATTTCTCCAAATATTCAAGAATTACTTGTAAAATAAATTTTGAAACTGGTACTAATAAAAGACACAGTAACTTTTATATACAGCGTGATGTTTTGAAATTTTCATTTATATTTTTCTTAAACCCCAAACAGGGCTCGACACTAACTTTTCAACTTACTAGCCAAGTGGCCAGTGACATGTTGTGATAATTTCAGTTTGTTTACCATCCAAACTGGCTAGTGGAAATCCAAAACCACTTGCCAAAACGGTATTTCTACTAGTCCATTGCTAGTGGGCTACTGTTAGTGTCAAGCCCTGCCTTAAGAGTGACCAGCATCTCATTTCTCCATACAATATCACCGTTGAATCAAACACTAAGGTCAGGAGAATAAAGGAAATGATCAGCAGCTAAAGGAACTCTTGATTGTTAAACAAATTCTCCTTGTCATCACTTTAAGAAATGTATAGAGAACAGTATGGAGAATATGCACACTGATGTTTGGGTCTAAAGAGTCAATTATTTTTCTTTTTTATAGAATTTTAAATTGCCATGACCTTTTTTTTTCGCAAAGATAATTTTCATTCATAAATTATGTTAAGGTTATAAGTATTTAAGGATAATTCTAACATTACAATTTATCAATTAATAGAACAATACTAATTATTGTTTGATGCAGTTGATAGATTTTATATTGCATAAATTATTATATAAAATTTCTACTAGGGCAAGCTGGCCAAATGTACTTTCATTCCATATAGACAAAAATTTCTATCTTAAGTTGTTACAAATTTTAGATATATTAAAAAAATTAAATTCTATTTCCTATCAAAAGCTGCAATTAATTTCTGAAGCCTTCCTTTTCCCATTGTCTCATCCTGATCTTCAACTTCATTCTTTTCTCTTTCATTTTCTTTCTCTTTCTCCTCAATGTAGTACTGGTTAGACTTGCTTTCAGTAACTGTAACTTTTTGCTTCTGTTTTCGTTCATTTTGTTTAGCTGTAGTTTGTGTTACCTGGGCTCCTTTACTGGCCTCTTCCAACTCTCTCCTTATTTCACTTGGCGATTTAAAAATCTCTTCCCCCTGCTCGATATTGATTGCCTCAGCCTTTTGCTTCTTCTTCTTCTTCTTCTTTTCCTCACGAGTAGAGCTTAAATTTTTGTCTGGAGCCGCTGGAACAATTACATCGTCTACCATAATCATAACACTGTACGGAGGAGTTTCTGCTGCCTCTTTTTTCTGCTTCTTGCTCCCTCGTGGAAACAGTACAGGTTTCAATTTGTCTTTAATTTTTCTTGGTCGAGAGACTGGGACTGGTTCTGGTTCAGTTATTTCTAGAGAGTTGGCGAGGTTACCCTCAGCGGCTGTCACGTGATTGATATCGCCACTTCTAATCGGTAAGTTGATTGCATGCCCTGAGTCAACCTTTGTGTCTATGAAGTTGAAAGGGCCAGGGGCGGATTCTTTCGGCGAGTTAATGACGTCACCCAGCGTGTTGTGATCGGCGTAGGAGCTGTTGCTTGGTTTAGCGTAAGTGGCGTCCACAACATCGACAACATCTACGTCATCGCTCTTCGTGACGTCCACATCCTCGCTTTTAAAGTCATCTGTGACGTCGATAACGTCATTTATGTCAGTTTCTTTGCCGTCGACATTTAGTTGGTTTTCCCCCATTTTCATCAGCTCCTCGAAGGGATCAAGGATTTCTTGATTGTTCTTTTGTTGAGTCTGAGACTCTGGGAGATCTAACGGATCAAACGACACCAGCAGTGTTTGCTCGGAAAGTACAGGGGGGGTTGGTGATCGTAAAGTGAGGTCTGTTACATTTGTCAGGGTTGAGGTGTAGGAGGTCTGGGACTCAAACTGAAACAGATCATCTGAAGGTGGTTCAATCAAAAGTGGTTGTGGGTATTCTTGTGGCTGCTCATTGTCGATCTGCGAGGTAAAAGTATCATCTATTCCAAAATCAAGGACACCATTGGCCGTAGGTGTCGAAATTGCTCTGCCTGGTGGGGACTCATTGACTGGGGCTTGTTGGTAGTCAATGTAAAAGTCATTTCCATCAATCAGATCGTCTGCGAGGTCTTGTACAGTGTGGTTTTCACTTGGCGATTCAGTGACGTCAGGGTGGCCGTAATCGATGTGAAAATCTGGTAAATCTTGACTGATAACGAACAGATCTTCTGTCATCTCCGGTGAAGCTGTCACGGTTTGCTCTCCGGGCGAATTTTGGAGGACAACTGGTGACGTAAAATCAATATGTGGCTCTATATTGTCTACAATGTCCTCGGTAGCTGGAGTATCGGGGATTTCCTCCCTGGCTTGTTTATTAATTTGAACACCAGAGACTTCCCTGTTCTTATCTTCCACTTTCTCTGCACTTCCTTGTTTGGAAGAGTTTATGTTTACCTTCTCAGCTGTAACAGTGTCGTAGGGAATTACATTCACAACAGGGATACCAATCGTACTTTCATTATCTGACTCCCTTGATAAATTACTGGGTGCTCTGTCGTCATTTAGTACACTACTTTCGTCGAAAAAGTCGAACATGGACTGAGTTGATCGAAGTGATTCGACGGAGCTGTCTCGGCTCCTGTTCGGTCGCTGTCGTGCTCTGCTCGGCCTTCTGTACTCCGACAAATTATCAACGCTTCTTCTCCTCCAATCCCTGGCTCCTGGTGTTGTCCTCTGGACCCTTATTTCGTGTTTCTTTATATCTCTTAGAAGTTCGTTTTCCAAGTCGGTTACTTTGATTTGAGCGGTGCTTAATTTGTCAGACCAGTCTCGAATTAATTTATCAGCTCTCTCGGGATCTGACTGCAATTCCGAGACTCTTACGACTGCAACTTCGGAATCCGTCGGAAGGTTTGCTTTCTCTTTATACATTGCCTCCAGCTTTGCTAGCTTGCCTTTAATGTCGGCCAATTCTTTTGCAAGCCTTTCATTCTCGTTAGTTACTTTCTTGTAGGACGACTCAGTTTCCCTGAGTTTCTTACCGATTTTGTCAGACTCATTCTCCAAGTCATCAATGTGTTCTTTCTGCATTTTCAACTTGGTGTCTTTGCGCGCGAGATCCTTCTTCACAGACTGCAGGGCACGTTCGGCTGCGTCGCGGTTGTAGTTTGAGTTCAGAGCGCTCTCCTCACGTTCTGCTAAATTATTCCTAAATTCATCACTGATTTCTTTCTGTTTCTGCAACCGTTTCTCCAACTCTACGTTCTCTTCCTTCGCGTATTTCAATTTACGGTTGAGTTCTTCAAGTTCACCATGTAAGTCTGCATTATCTCGTGTAGCATCTTCCAGCTTCTGCTCAAGAGAAGCGATTTTCCCTCGCATTTCTCTTAACGAATCTTCCATTTCGTTGATGTTTTCCTCTTGATGTTCTCCAGTTGCTTCTAACTCGGATAAGAGCTTTTTAGTCCGTGCTAATTCTTCGCGCAACTTGGTTTTTTCTTCCATGTCTCTTAGCTGAATATCCTCATTCTCGGCTTTACTCTTCTCCAACAAAATCACTTTTCTTTGAATAACTTCATTGTCTCTATCTCGGGTTTCGAGTTTTTGTTTCAAAGCTAAACGTCGTTCTCTTTCGTACTCAAGCTCATGACAAATTTCACTATTTATCTTCTCCAGTTCTTCTTTCTTGTCTGCAAGTCCTTGTTGTTTGGAAAGTGAATCGTTGAATTTTTTCTCCATTTTTGTGAGTCTCTCCTTTAAGTCATTGTTCTCTGCTTCGGTTTTGTCAATTTTCTCCTTTGCATTTGCAAACTTTTGCTGTAGGTACTGTTCGTTTGATAATCCATTATCCCTGGCCAGTTCAAGCTCTGCAATACTCTCTTCTGCTGTTCTCAATTTTTTCTCCAAACCTGCAATCTTTTCCTTGTTTGAATCCAAAGACGCGTGTGCTTTTTCGAGGTCCTTCTCTGCGTCACTGTAATCTCGTTCGAACGCTCTACGCTCTTTTAGCGACTCATCCAGCTGATTTTCAAGTTTTGCAACTCTTTCTTTGGCCTCGCGTAAGTTTTCTCCGATTTGTGCATTTTTGTCTTCACCTCTCTCGAAAGCTGTTTCCAAATCTGTTATGCTTTCATGAGCTGCTGATAGTTGCTGCTCAAATTCTCGCGTTTCTTCTTTACACTCCGCCAGTAATCGTTCTAATTCCCGTTGGGTTTCTGCGGCTTCTTCTACCTTTTCTCTCAAACGTTGGTTTTCTGCCTCTAACTTACTATTCTCACTTTCACAATCTTCAAGCTTATCAACAAGATCTTCCACTTTGTTCTCTTTCTCATACATGATCTTTTTATTTTCTTTCCTCTCCAACTCCAAAGCTTGGATCATTTGGTCTTGTTCTGCAATGGTGTGCTCCAAATCTTTCACACTATGGAGAAGTCTTCCTTTTTCTTGTGAAACCGTGTAAAATTGCTCTTTGGTTTCAATAAGTCCCGCACGAAGATCAGAAATCTCGGTTTGATTGTTGCTCGATAACGACCTAATTTCATTATATTGTTGTTCAAAGAGATTTAACTCGTCTTGAAGTTGCTCAATCTGATTTTCCTTCTCTCTGATATCTGCTTTCAGCTCTAAAAGCGCATCTCTATTTTCCTGTTCTGAAGTTTCTAAACTGTTGTTCGCCTTAAGCAGTTGTTCTCGCAAGTTTTCATTTTGTTTTTGCAAATCTCTCGAACTCTCAGAAGCTTTTTGTTTATTCTCTTCTCCTTCTGCTACCTTTTCTCGCAATTCACTCACTTCCCGTTCCAGTTCTGCAGAACCTTCCTGAAGAAGGGCAATTTCTTGTTGTAACACTACCGTTTCTTGTTCCATATTCTGGTACTCCCTTCCTTTCTCGCCCACCTGAACTTGCAAATTGGCATAGCTCTCTTCCGACTGGTTTAGATGTGCTTTAAGAGATACTTCTGTGTCGCGTGAAATTTCCTGTTGTCTCTCCAGTTCCAGTATAATTTCTTGTGCTCTTTGCAGCTTCTCCTGAGCATCGGAGCATTTCTCGAGCTGTTCAGATACAGCCCTCTTCTTCTCTGTTACCTCAGAGAGCATTTTTCGCAAATCACTAACCTCTTGTTCCAATTCTACAGAACCTTGTTGCAAATGAAGAATCTGTTGCTGCAACTTTTGGGCATCTTGTTGGGAATGTCGGCACTGTTTCTGCGCGTCACTCAGTTGTACCTGCAAACTCGCATTGCTCTCTTCTGATTTATGAAGTAGTTCTTGCAGAGATTGTTCTCTCTCACGTGAAAGCCCTTGTTGTCTTTCAAAATCCAGAATAATAGTCTGAGCTCTTAACAACTCTTCTTCTACGTGAAGACCTGTTTCCTTGGAGCTATTTACAGAGGATTTTAGACCCTCTCGTTCCTCGCATAACGTGGACAGCTCTTTCTGTAACCTGGCAACTTCTTCATCTTTTGCAAAGAGTTCTTCTTGCATTATTTTTTGAAGATTGTTTTTGTTTTCCTGAGCTGAGTTACAATTTTCTTCCATAGTTTTTAGGTCATCTTGAGTTTTTGATAATTCTGACAACAGTCGGACGTTCTCTTTAGCCATCTTGGCCAGACTTGTTTCATAATCACGAACTTTACGTTCCAGCTCTCTTTCTTTGGTTTGAATTACATCAGCGCCTTCGATAACAGGTTTCATAGAAGGACCATCTTGTTCATCGGAAAAATCCACAAGTGTTCCATCAGGTACATATTCCGAACATTCCATGCTGTTCTCTAGACTTGCTTCTACAACAGGTTGCAAAATGGCTGTTTCTATCGGCTCGTCGACAAAAAGAAAAATATCGTTCTCCATTTGTGGATTAATTTGTTCCACGCAATTTTCCATCTGTGATTTAATGCTGTGGTTTTCTTTCAATGCTTGCGTGAGTAACTTCTCCTTTTCTTTCAAGTCGTTGTTTTCTTCCATCATCTTACGAAGCTCCGAGTCGATTTGAAGTTGCATGCTCCTTGCTTCTTCATCACGATCTTTAAGCTCTTCGTTCTCAGCAATGACGTCCGCCAATCGCTTCTCGGTTTCTTTTAGCCTGCGAGTTTCTAGTGCAAGAGCCGCTTTTGTTTTACTGTCCTCGTTTGTTGCCACATTTTCCTCGAACAAAGGGGGCTGTTGAGGGTGAAATTTGTTTTGGATGAGAATTTCTCTTCTCATTTTGTCAATGGCTTTGTCTCTCTCCATGTCTGAAAACCCGCTATCTGGACTTGCCGGACCCGCTGTGTGGTGAAATGACCAGGAATCTTTAGCAGCACTTTCTTTCTGAAGTGATCGCACCGGTAATTTTCCAGATCTCAGTAGGTCTAATTCTTGGTCCAGCAACATCTTCGCCATTCGTAAACCTTCCTGCTCACGGTTCTTCTTGAGGATTTCATCAGTTAAGGTATCCATTTGGTTGTGAAGCTCTAAAAGGTCATTCTGTAGTTCTTTGATTCTTTCATCTTTCCTTTTCATGAGAGTTTCATGAGCGTCTAATCTCATTCTTTGCAAAGAATTCTGCTCGCGTGCGCTTTGCAATGCTTCTTCCAACTCCTCAATTTCCGTCTTACTTGTTTCGTAATCTTCTTTCAATCGTTGATTTTCCGAGTTCAGTTCTTGCACGTTCTTTTCAACATCGCTAACTCGTTGCTCGTCTTCTTCGCCCATTTTCTTAGATTGTAGCTTTCTTTCTAAAATTGAAATTCTTTCTTTACAAGTCTGAGCCTCTGCTTGTAAATCTATCTTCTTTTCCTCGCTGGACTCGTAAAATCCGCGCATTTGTGCGAGTTCTTTCTTAGCAAGATACAACTGTTGCTCAACTTGGGTGTATTTTTCTAAGTTCGCGAGAACACCCTGACTTAACTCTGCTTCTCTGTCATTGTGTTGTCTCTTTTGCTGTTCCAATTCATCAACCTTACTCCGCAATTCGTGTAGATGTTGCTTCATTTTAGAAATTGTACTTCCTTGGGCCTCAGTCGTAGTTTCAGAACTCAAACGATCAATTTCACTATCGGCGTTTTCCTTCTGTAATCTCTCGTTTTCTATCTTCAGTGATCGCTCCTCGCCTCGAACAGCGGCCAGTTCTCTTTTCAACTCTTCCATCGCTTTGATAAGCCCTTGTTTTTCTTTGCACACAGATTCAAGGAATCGTTCTTTGTCGTTCAACTTATCTCTATAACTTTCGCACTTCTCGCGTAGTACCAAAATGTCTTTCTCCAATTCAGACAAGTTATCGCCAGAAACATTTGCTTGAGAATTTGCGTCGCTTATACAATGCTGTAAATATCTACTCTCTTGCTCAGAGCTACTCAGTTTTTCTCTCAAAGTGTTTATTTGCTCCTCGCTAAACTGTAATTCTTGCTGTAATCTTGTTTTATCGTGCTCTGAATTCAATCGTGTTGCATTCACCCTCAAAACTTCCTCTTGCAAGCTCTTTACATCCTCTTGCAGACCTTTGTTTTCAGCTTCCAAGCGCTTAAGCTTTTTATCTTTAGAGCTCATGTCTTTGTTATAAGACTCGCAAAGCTTTTCCTGAAGAGCGACTTTTCTTTCGAGTCTAGCATAATCGTTTGATTCGTATTTACGAAGGATTTCCCTCAAACGGGAATTTTCTTTCATGAGCGTTTCGCTGAGGTCGTCATGTTCAACATAACCAGGTTTTATTCGATAACCACGGATCCCATTTTCACGTGGGCGCGAATTTCCCGTTGTTTTCAGCAGCATATTTTCTCGCTTTAATTTCTCCACATCCGGTTCAAGTGCTTGTTTAGCAGCTTTCAGCCGCTCGATCAAATTGTCCTTCTCCGCTTCTTCGTCACGGTGTTGCTGACAAGATTCATTATGCCTTAAAAGCTGCGCGTGCATTATTTCAAAGCTAGAGATTAAATCCTCTTTCTGGGCTTCCATTTGCTCAAAATAGGACAACAGAGATATTTTTAAATCGTCCTCCAATTTCGATACCTGTAGACCCAGTACTCTCACCAGACTATCAGGCGCCACTCGTGATTTATCATCGTCTACAAAAGTTGTACTTTCATGTGGGCTTAGATCCAAATTTGGCGATTCCATTCCTACTCCAGAGCTTGCTCCTTCGTCGCTGTCTTGGGTGAGCTCTCGGCAAACATCCCATCCATTTTGTTCGTTCATTGCGGATGATTCACCACCGTTCGGTACACTATGAAAACTCTCCGAGTCGCTTTTCGGATCAGTAAGCGCCCTCAATTTGTTCAGTGTTTCCTTGGCTAGTTCGAGCTGTTCGTGGATTTTTTCTTTTTCTTGTGCGTAATTCGCCATGTAGTCAATTTGTCGAAAATATTCCAGCGTCAAATGCCGCTTTTAAGTCGCGGCAAGCATGCCGCGACGACTTTTAGTGACGCAAAAATAAACCAGCCACGTTACTGGAGGATTCCTCAAAAAATGAAGGTGCTTTTTTTCACTGACTTTCTGCCTTTTCAAATGAAGGTTCGTCTGTCACGTTATCGTAAGAAGTTCATTTTGCTACATTCTCCAGGTACATTCTCCATTCTCTGACGAACGTAACTTATTTTTATGCGTGGTAGAATGCACAGCGCAAAGTCTGATACTGCAATTATTACCCGAAGAAATATACTGACAGTTATTCGCCGCAGAGTTAGATTCCCATCGATATTTAACCGACGATAGGCTTCAGTCAATGTTTTCCAACAGAACTGAGTAATCTTCGAATCTCTCTCTCGGTGAATACACAATGTCACTTGTTCTCTGGTTGTGAAATACTGTAAGAGGCCATTTAATCAGGATTAAAGCGGCTGATATCTGTTATGCAAAAAAGCCATTTGTTGTTATTTCCCGTTTCTTTCTTCCTCTTTGTGATTCGTTGGTTTTTAAGTTTACGACAGGTGTTCGTGTCATTTCCTGTAACTATGGAGACCAGTTTTCCTTAACTGGCATCTGATTGGCTGATTGCATCTTACGACTGAATTAAACTTGTCATTTAATTTTACGAAAAATCGAACTTAACTCGTAGTTTGATATTTCGGACATTTGGACTTTGGCCAACTCAATCAATTTTAATGATATGTTCAAATTTTGGCGCAGGATAGACGGAATCTGATATCTCTTCTTTAAACTTTTAGACCTGTTATATTGATTCAACAATTTAAGTCGAGCTTGAATAAATAGCTCGCGGAATATATCCATTTACAATGAACAGGAAAAAAAGCTCAAAACTTAAGCAATATTTTCTAAACAAAACAGTGTCTGTGAAAGATTTATGCACATTTACAATTATTGTTGTTAAATTTCATTTTCATTTGATTTCTGGAAGTGGCTTTGAACGAGGATATTTAACAAGTGCACGGTAACGAAATCCGCCTTCCTTGGTAAATTTAAAACGTCAATTCATGTCACGAGGTTTTTCAGGTCTCGGTACAAAAAAATTATTCTTTTCATTCATGGAATGAAAATTTACATAACTCAAAATCGTTGAAACGAAAATGTATATCTCATTGACCATGATATTCATCAGAAAAATTAATAGTTTGGAATTAATTTTCTTGCATTTAAGTTTTTTGTTTAATAAAAATATATTGTGCCCGTTTTAATCAGGTTGATTTGGATGCAAATTTGAGCCCGGCTTTAATTAGGCAAATAAGGTTAAGTTTCGTGCGTTTAACCTTCGTCTCTGTTTCACTCTTCAAAATTCGCAACCATTGTTAATTTGACTTTTATCAATCTGCAACTGATGATTAGTTTTTTCTTAGTTCGTGGTCTTGATTTTTAGAGATCGCGCTTTTTCCCTTATGTTACCGAAATATTACTGTGTTGACATTAGACCATTAACTCCTGTGACTGATCAATACAGAATTTCTCCTTACAATATCAATACAATATCAAGTTGACAAGTGATGAGAAGAAAGTAAAATAACAACTAAGGGATTATTGGTTGATCCAATACCAAATTCTCCAAACTGACGTCACAAAAATTGTATGGCAGACAGTAAGGACAATTACTTATGAGATCTTGGGAGTGAAAGAGTGAAGAAAAACTTGTATGGGCCGGTCATTTTACACGAGGTCTAGCCCAAACTCAGGTTTTTCGCAAGCGGTGGGCCTCGGGTATTCTGTATAAGAGGGTTGATTTGATTAAAAAAATGTCCTTCCACTGCTAGCTTTCGGCTTTATTGAAACTGTTCGCAAAAATATATTTTTAGATAAAAGATTAAGCTAAATCGAAGATAGTTTAGAACGCAGTTTCGTTAAACAACGGCTAAACTTTTGTTTCAATAGGTGGCCTACAATGATCTACGAGGTGCTGAATAAAACTAGATTACTCATACGGGACTGAAAAATGAAGACCACATATTTTCTTAATGTTATTATTTATTAACGGGTATATACTCTTGAGGAATGATCCTGTGTGACCTTAAGCCATCCAAAATATCGCAAGAAAACCAAATTTAATGGAATTAAAATATAATTCAATGAAGTCTTAGAACACGCAGCAATGCAAGCGTCCTCTTGAAGTCATGTGAGTAATTCCCTCTAAATAACTCTCATGTTAAATAATGGCTTTTAAATCATCTGAAAAAATGTAACTTCAACTTTATATCTCTCGATTAACGAGTTACAGTACTACTAGAAGCAGTAGTGTTAAGATAAAAAACAGTGACAGTCTGTAGACAAAGTGCTACAACTTAAAACAAGCTTTTTAAAAAAATCATTTCCATGAAAATGCACAATGTATAAAAGCTTTACAATTTTATATTTGCCACATAGTACGTTCTGGCACATGAAGACTCTTAATTGAACCCTTTTTTCATTAACCAATACTATTCAAATATCAATTGCCTGATACAAATAATGTATGATTTTGAAATTTTTCTGGAGGAAAGCATCCACGCTTTCATATAAGTAAATGGACCATTGATTGTATTAAAAACCTAGTATTATTAACCTATTAAAGAACAAATTTAAATTTTAAAAACGCGCTCCCAAGACACTGTATCCAATGCAAGTATTACACAACTTGCATGGTATCATGGGGCATGAAGTCACATCAACCTAACAAACCATAGTACAGTAAAGTTTATAGCACTACAGTCACCCCAACGTTTGCAGTAACAGTTATCCCAACAGAATGGAATCAGGATCATAAAACGTCAATTTTTCACTGGAGTATCTAACAATGGCCACAGTCATCCCAAAGATTGCCGTCACAGTTACAGTTATCCAAGCAAAGTGTGATAACCCTCAAAACGTCTGAGAACATCCAAATCTTAGTACTTCCATTTTCTCCGAAGCCTCTAAGAATGATCACAGTCATCCCAGTTGTTGCCGTCACAGTCATCCTAATCAACCATCGTGGCACTCTAAACGTCCAACCTGTAAAAATGGTCACAGTCCCTCCAACTGTTGCCGTCACAGTCATCCCAATCAACCAGTGTAGCTCTCTTTACGAGGATCTTAATACTTCCATCTTCTTCTTGGGTCCCTCCTGCTTTCGATCTGTGCAATCTCATATTCCCCGTCCTCCTCTTCATCGAGAGCGAACTCCACGGGTCCATACTTCTGGTCCCTGAACACCTGAAAAGATGACGCACGTCCTGTGGACCATGATGCCCTTGATGCGTTTTTCGTTTCTTGTTCAATATCAATTTCTAGTTCAGTCGTTTCGTGACGCTCTTGGACATCGATGTCGAGTGTAGTTGTTTGTGTTGTTATTTCGAGTTCTTTTGTAGTAGTCTGTGGGGTAAAACTGTATTCCGAAGTTCTATGTGGTCTGGTGTAAAATTGAGTCCTTGAGGTCTGTGGCGCAGAGTTGTGGTCAATTATTGTTTGCGGAGTTACGTACCACTCATCTGTTTGTGGTGTAAAGCTGTATTCAAATGTCCTCTGTGGTTCCACATTGATGTCTAGTGTCGTAACTTGTGGTTTCACATTGATATCCAGAGTGGTTGTTTGCTGAGGTCTTTCTATGACATCGACACGAAGTGTGGATGTTTCTGTTGGGTCAGCGGACAATTCAAAGTCTTCTAGTTGTCTCTTACACTGCTCGTATGCTCGGTGGCTTAGAATCAAGTCATCTTGCAGGGTCTGAATCTCGCGCTCGAGCTCGTCAATCCGGTCTTGCAAGTTTTTAACCTGATTGGCCTTGCGCTCTCGGTCCAGCTCATGTAACTTGGACTCTCGTCGCTGATCTTCAAGTTCTCCTTCCAGCCTCTCAAGTCGACCTTGTTTGGCGTTGACATCGTTATTTGCATCGTCCAGTTTTCTTAGAGCCTTTTGCAAGTCAATTTCCATTTTTCTGATTTCAAAACGAGTGCTGCTGACTTCCTCAGAGATTTTCTGTTTTTCCATTGCCCTGGAATCGAACTCACGTTCGACGATCAAAAGCCGCTCCTTAGCCGTTTTCAATTCGTATTCCAAACGAAGTTTCTCCTCTTTTAAGTTACTGTTAGATTTTTCAAACCTTTGCAACTTGTTTCTACAGTCATTGAGATCAAATTCCAGACTCTGTTTCTCCTGGACCAAGGTTTGTTTCTCGATCAGAAAGATCCTGCGTTCCTCTTCAATCTTCGTGTATTTCTCTTTGATCAATGTGTATTCGTAATACAGCTCCTCTCTTTCCCGCCTCACTTTTCCTACATCCTCTGTTACCTCAGATTTTGACGCTATTTCACCCATCAGTCTTTCTATTTCTCGTGTCAGTTCTCTATTTTCCTCAGTAAGACTAATCTTTTCACTTTGCAAAGTCTTGATTTCGTCTTGTAGGGTCGATTTCTCTCTTTTCCATGCCTCCAGATCTCGTACTCTCATGCCAGCCTCCCGTTCTAATTTCTCAAGTTCGCGTTTTACTCGCCAAAGTTCCTCTTGAATTTCAGATTTGCTAACTTTGAGGGTGGTAATTTCTTCCTTAAAGCTACTCTTTTCACTTTCGAAGGAATCATACTCGTATTTACTCATTGACATCTCTCGTTTCAGGCGATCAATCTCAAGATTTGCCACTCGTAATTCCTCTTTGAGTCTACCATTCTCCTCTTCGCAATGGCCCTTTTCTGCCTTCATGACGGAGATCATTTCCTTGATATTCTCATAATCATCTTTAATTAGACGAAGTTCTTCTTCGGCGCGTGATTTTTCTTTCCTCAATTTGACGGCTTCTTCTCTGTAATTCTTCCTTTCCTCGTCCCAGCTGTCCTTGTCGTCCCGGGTGTACACCAGCTCTCTCTTCAAGGTGGACACTTCAAAATCAAGAGAACTTATTTGAGCATTAACATCGCTGATGAGGCTTTCTTTCTCAAACACTATTCGTTGATGTTCATCAACTGCACGGTCATACTCGAAAGTTTTAGCCGATAATTCAGATTCACTCTTATGTAGCCTCTCAAGAGCTTCCTCTAGTTCATCTCGCAAACGATTCGTTTCTAACATTGTACTATTGCTGCGATCATTCAGCTGCCCTTGCAAGTAATCCAATTCTCTCGTCTTTTCATCCAGTAATCTCTGAACTCGAAATAACTCCTCACTTTTCTCTTGTTGTTCATCAAAGATTTCTTTTTTCTCTTTCATAATACGCTGGTATGTTACTTCTAACTCAGTATACTTCGTCTCGACAGAAAGCAGCTTTTCTTCAAGAAACGTTTTCTCCTCAATGCCGACAGTGGCATCACTAAGTTGTGTAATCTCATGACGCGAGACTAGAAAGAGCTCATTTTCAAGAGTACTAATTTTGTTCTCTGCATCTTCCAAATCTGACCGAAGTCTTTTGTTGTCGTTCTGAGAACGGTCGTACATACTTTCCGCGGTAGAGAGTTTTCGGTGTAAATCCAAAAGTTCATCTTGAAGAATTATTGATCTGTCTTTGGTACCATCTGTTGCATCTCCTTGTTCCTGTAGTCTTCTCTTTAGATTGGCTATTTCATCCTGGAATGCTTCTTTCTCTTGGTGGCAATATTGATGTGCCATCACCATTTCTGATGCTTTCTTGTGGGTATCCAACAGCTCTCTTTGAAGGCTGAGTTTCTCGTCTTCGCTTTCTTTGCAAAACCTTTCGAGCTCACGGTATTTATCAGTGTTGATTTGGAGCTCATTCCTCAGTCTTTGGATTTCTTGTTGACTGGCTTCTCGATCTGTGCTGCTCGAAAAGCTCCCATCGACAATATCTTGCCTCAATGCGTCATTCTTTGTCTTGAAAGTTTGTACTTCCCGCTCCGCATCGGCAACTTTCTTCCTCAAAAACTCCAGTTCTTGCTGTAGCACGAGCGTTTGCACTTCACTCGCTCGATCGTCATCTTGCAGTGTACATACCAAATTGTGCGCTGTAATCATCTCATTACGGACGTTTTCCTTTTCTTCTTCACAAGATTTCAATCGCCTGTCCTTTTCTCCTAGTTCATCCTTGAGCACCTCCAGCTCATGTTCCATCCTGTTGTTTTCTCTTGCATAATCCTCGTTAGATCTTTCTTTGTTCAATAAATCTCTCTTAAGCCTGTCAAGTTCGTCTTCAAGGAGTACTTGTTGCCTCTTAGATTCCGCTAAAGCAATCGATTGTTCGTCAAACTCTCGGCTACTGTCCGAGATTTTCCTTTGTAACTCATTTATTTCTGTCTTTAGGTTGTTCACGTCGTCTCGCTCATTGAAACTAGTGTTCCTTAAATCATCCAGTTGTGATAGTAATTCCTCTTTCTCTCTGTTGCTTTCCTTAACTTCTCGCTCCAAAGTTGAGATGGTGTCTTTCAAAGTGGTGAGCTCCTTCTCTTGTTCCGTCTTCTCAAGTTGCCCGAATTTGTAAACTTCTTCTGCATTCTTACTTCTACGTTCTGCCTTTTTGGCCTCTTCTTCCCAGCTATTTGCCTTTTCTTTCCACATTTCACAAGTCGCTTCCAACTCATTGATCTTCCCTTGAGAGTCAAGGACTTCTACTTGCAGGACATCATTCCTTTCTTCTATGTCTCGCACAACGTTTTGCGCCTCTCCCAGAAGCTCCTTCTTCGTTTGCAGTTCATAATCTAATTCTGTAACCCTCTTGTGCGAGTCAAGAATTTCTTGCTCTAGCTCTGTCTCCCTTTCGCGAATCCTGTTATACGAGCATTCCAACAGGGCAAGCTTCTTTTCCATGTTTGACAATTCTCTGGTAGCGTCGTTTTTCTGGCTCTCACACAATTCATAACTTGCCTCCAGCGAGACTAGCTTCCTCTCTGTGTCAGTAGAGTTCTCTTGCAATGTCTCCTTAGCTCGTTTTACTTCTTAATAAGACGCCTCCAAATCGCTTAGTCGCTTTTTGGCATTTTCAAGCTCTAGAACGTTTCTGTTATTATCCAACCGAACCGTTTGATAACTCGATTGTAAATCAGTAAGTTCTTTCCTCACTTCATTCAGTTGTTCCACCGCCTTAGTTTTCGTTGTCAGTATGTCGTCATGAGCAGTTTTCAATGAGTGCAATTCTTTTTTAACTTTAGAGAGCTGGCTTTCTAGATCCTCCTTCTCTTTCTTCAAAGAGTCGTCTGTAGATCCAAAATCCACCAAATCTGGGGCAGCAGCCTCGAGGAGTTGAGAATTTAGACCTTCTTTTTCTTTCTGTAGCATCTGGCATATCAGCTGGGTTTCCTGATAAGACGTTTCCAAGTACAGTATCTCCGTTTTGAGTCTGTCGTTCTCGATGGTGCTCGACTCAGCGGCAGACTCCACATCTACCAGGCGCTCTTGACTGACTTCCAATTGATTCTGTAACTCTTTGTTTTCGTGGCTGAGTTTTTCCGAGGTCAGTTTTAAACTTGTAAGATCTCGTCGAAGATCGTGGATTTCATTTTCGAGGCTCTTCTTGGACGATTGAAGATTTTCAATAATCTTGGTTTTACTTTCAGTATCGTTCTGTGTGATTTCATATTCCTGTTGCTGTTGGGTTAGTTTTCTTTGATGTCTGTTCGCCTCCGTCTTAAGATTTTCAATCCTGAGTTTTGCTTCTTGAAGTTGGCTTTCAAGTTGTGTTCTGTTCTTGATCTCGCTCTGTAATTTACGATCACTTGTTGTTAATTTATTCTTGTACATGGTGATATCCTGCTGGAGTTGGTTCTTCGCTGACTGACTTGTCTGGTAAGCGACCTCAAAGTCAGTTACTTTCTTGTAAGCAGTCATGAGGTCGTTCTGTTGCTGTGACTCTTTCTCTCGACTTGATGTCAAAGCAGTTTCAAGTTGTGCAACTTTCTGCTCCGCATTGAAAAGATCATCGCTGAGGACTTTCATCTTCTCCTTCTCCACACCCTCAAAGGCCTCCATTCTTTTAATTTTGTTCTTAGCCACAATCAGTTCTTGATCGAATGCTGTTATCTTTTTGTGAGAATCAATGAACTCTTCTTGAAGCTGTTTGTCCTTTTGTTCTAAATATGCTACGGTGTGTTCCAGTTCGTCTACCTTTCTCTGTAGTGAGTGGACTTCTCCTTGTAAAGCAGCCTTTGTTTTTTCCCAGTCACCGTGCTCAAGCACATTCTTAGATAATTTCTCACGGAGCTCAATTATTTCCTTGTCTTTTTCTTCTTTTTGAGATAAAATCGTGTTGTAGTCGGCTTGTAATGTCGTCAGAGAAGTGTTCATTGATGAGACTTCTTCGGATGATTTGTCTTTTTCTTGAAGAATTACAGTTACTCTACTCTGCAGGTCTATGCTCTGTTGCTTAACAACTGTCAATTCGCCTTCAAGTTTGCCTTTTTCTCGCTGAGCACCATCCAGTGCAATTTTCATCTCAGATGTATCTCGTTTGAGCGCATAGTACTCTTCCTTGAGTTTGTCTTTATCTTCAGATATGCTCTTGTATCTTACTTCTATATAAGTCAGCTTTTGCTGCAGTGACATAATATCGTGTTCTTGGCCCTCATGTTCTCTCTGTAAGGCTTGGTGTCGCTCCGTAAGATCAGCAACAAGAGCTTGATTCGATAAAGTCTCCTTCCTCAAGTCATCTTTTTCCTTTCGAAGACGCGCAGCAGTGTCCTCCAAGTTGGCCGCAGTTGCTTCTTGAGCTTCTAACTCGGTCTGCAATTTAGCTATTTTCTCTTGAGTATGCTGGTGTTTTCCTTTCTCGTTAGACAATTCCTCTGTCAAGGATTTTAGCTCTTGTTCTAGTGTGTTGACCTCCAATTTTAACGAATCAATCTTGTTATCCTTCTCCTCGGAAGTGCTTTTGTACGTCTCAAAACCTGCTTCTTTCTCTTCAAGGCGCTGCTGCAAATCACCGACTACATCCTTACTTTTCGTGGCTCGAGTTTGCGCATCTTCCAGTTCATGTCTTACGTTCGCCAGATCTTTAAGAGCTCGGTACAATTCTTCCTGCACACTGGAGACTTTCTCTTGCCTTTCCACCAGCTCTCTGTTCAACTCATCATTCTCTTCCTGTGCTGTGTCAAGGCGAAGCTCGTACTCTGAACCTTTCTTCAAAGCATCGAATAGTTCCTTATCCGCAGCATCCTTTCTATGTTGAAGCATTTCCATACTTGTCCTGATACCGGTATTTTCCTCTTGTAGACTCTTGACATCCACTTTCAGGGTCGTGTTTTCCGCCTTGAACATTTCGATAGTTTTCTCCTTGCTTGCACAGTCTCTTTTGCGAGACTCGAGAAGAATGTTTTGTTCTTGGACTCTTCTTTGGAGACGTATCAGCTCACTGTTAGTGTCACTACCCACTGGTGCGAACGTATCAACCTGCTGTTCCAGACTGTCATTGATTCTTTCAATTCGTTGTATTTGTGTTTCCAAAGTAAACACTTTATTTCTACTCGTCTGAGCTTCGGATCGTAATTTGTCGAGTTCTTCATGATCTTCGTCATGTGATTTTCGTGTTGTCTCCAGTTCATCCCGAAGAGACTGGATTTCTCCCTCCAGGTCGCTACGATCCTCTTGACAGGCCTGGTAACTAGATTCTAAACTTGATATCTGTGACTTCAAAACAATATTATTTCGCTGAACTTCATTTTCCTTCTCTTTCAGTTCTGTCATCTTTCTTTCCCCATCTTCCAGTTTACCTCTCAGAGAATCCACTTTTTCTTCTAATCTTTGGATAGTTTCTTGGTTTACCTTCATTGTGCTTTCTGCTTCTGCTAACTGTTGCACCACAGAGCTCAGACTAGATTCCAACTCCTTCTTCTTCGTCGTCAACAAATCGTTCTCCTTTTCCTTTTCCCTTAGAACATTCTGCGATCGTTCAATTTCTTCTTCATACATTCTCTTAGACTCTCGTAACTGCCCCATGGATCCTTCCTTTGCGTCCAATGTCTCCTTAAGCACGTCACGCTGACCAGTTAGCTCCGTAACTTGCCTCTGTAATGTCAACACGTCATTCTTGTAGTTAAAAGCGCTTTGTTTGTACTCCTCGAGTTGGTGCTCAAGATCTTCTTTCTCCCCTTGTGACTCATCCAGTTGACTCTTAAGAGAAAATAAATCGTCTTTGAATCTATTTGCTTCGTCTCGAGCTCGTTCTTTTTCTGCGACTACTTTTGAAAGATTTGATTCCAGTTCAGCGGTCCTCTTATGTAGCTGAAGGCTTTCGCGTTGGAAACGAGTAATCTCTTGTTGTAGACGTTCAGATTCTTCCTTTCCAGACGCCACAGTTTGCTTTAAGCTATCTCTCTGCCCTTCCAAAAACGTCTTGCTGCCCTTCAGCTGACGAATAACCTCGTCCTTCTCATCGACTTCCTTGTTGGCCACATCTAAAAGAATTGTCTGTTCTGCGACTTTCTGCTCCAGATTGAGAGTTTTGTCGAGAGCTGCAGATAGATGACCATTTGTATCTTCCAGCTGCTTTACCAGTGAGCCTCGTTCACTGCACTCATACTCGTACTTGTATTCCAGGTCTTGCAATTTGCTTTGTGTTTTAATCAACTCTTGTCTCACTTCTTTTCTTTCTCGATCGCTTTTCTTGAAGACTTCATCAAGATCTCGATACTTTTTTCCCAGCAATTCGTTCTCACGATTATTTTCATTTCTTTGATTCTTTGACATCTTGCATTCCGATTCCAAAGCAATTATCTTATTATTGTAGCTTTGTAATTCGTGTCTCAGGTCGCTTTCGACCTGAGAAGACTTCACAATCAAACCTTCGAAGTCCAGACATCTAGAATTAGAGATCTGCAAGTCTTTTTGTAAGGTATTCCTCTCCTTCTCTAAGTCAGATATCCAGTCCTCTAGTCGTGAAATTTCATTTTTGCACTGCTTGAGTTCATCATCAGCCTCTCTGATGTTCTTCTCGTTGGTTTCGTTCTTTGATTTATCTTCTTCACATTCCAAGCGAATGTTTGCCAATTCGCTTTCCAAAGCCACTTTCACAGCTCTTAGCTCCTCGATTTGAGAGTCCATGGCTTTGTTTTCAGCTGTTAATAGTTCGATGACTATCTGACATTCTTGTACATCCTTCTGCGCTCTAGAACCATCTTCAGACTGTTTGGCAAGCTTCCTGACAGTTTCGTCAAGATTCGATTTCATTCTCTCATTCTCACGCAGCAAACTCTTCAACTGGCTTTACTGTTCTAAGCTCTTTTGTACAGCAACGTTCAATTCCCGCTCTAGCTCTTCCCGTAAATCACGAAGCTCTTTCATTTCGCTCTGAGTCTTTTCATCTTTGCTTTCGTATTCCATCAGTTTTACACTAAGGTCCTCTTGTGCCCCTTGAAGAGTCTCGCAGGATACTTTTATCGTCATTCCTTCTTGACGGAGTGTTTCCAGCTCTGTTACAAGTCCAGAGATTCTTCCGTTCAATTCCTCGATAGTTTTCTCTTTCTTTGCAAGAGCCTTTTTCAAGGACAGCGCCAAGCCTTGTTGCTCTCTCAACTGGCTTGCAACCTTAACATTTTCTTCTTTAAGTTCCACGGTTTTGTCCCTCGAATCGGTGAGTTGCTCTTTCAAGTTCTGCTTCTGTGACTCCAGTGCACGAATCGTTGATTCCAGTTGTGTCACTCTGTTCCGTAGTGCAAAAACCTCCTCTTCTGAAGCCTCCTTCTTCTGACGAAGACTTGAGATTTCTTCGTCGTGTTCTTCTATATTCTTCTCCAGAGCCGCAACTTGTTGCCGGAGATCTAACTCCTCGCCTTGAACTGTATCAAGCTGAATAGAATAACTCGTGTTCTTCTCTTGCGCCGCTCTTAGCTCTTCTCGCACCTCTTCCAGTTCTTTTCTTGCCTCTTCGTAATGCGACTCCATCGCGGAAACCTTTTTTCGCATAGAGTTTAACTCTGTTTCGAGGTCTGATAATTTACTCTTGCATATAGTCAGTTCTTTTTCAGTCTGATTCCCCCTCTCCTCGTTTTTCTTTAAGTCAGATTCCAACATTGCAACCTTCTTTCGGTTTGCTTGCAGTTCTGATTCAAGTTGATCTTTTTTACGCTGTGCAGTCTCCCACAATGGCTTCATCCTGATAACTTCATCACTGGTTTCTCTCCACTTCTCTTGTAGCTTTCGTCGATCATTTTCTAGCTGCCATACTTGCTCCTTCTTCTTTGTCAATTCCAAGTTTAAGTATTCATTTTCAGATATTAGTGTAGTTATCTTCACTTTGCAATCCTCGACAACTCTTTCCTTCTCGAACAATTGGTTTGAATACTCGCTAACTGATTTCTGATTTTCCTCCAATCGGACTTTGACAACAGACAATTCTTCGACGGCCTTCTTGTTTGACACATTTAAATCTCCGGAGTGATATTCTAGGGAAGCTTTCTCCCTTTGAGTCTGTTCTAAAGCAGCCTCTAGCTTGTTCACTTTCTGCTCCAGAACCATGACTTGACGTTGTGAGTCCATTTTGTCGTGTTCACACGTTTGATAGGATCCTTGAAGTTCAGCGAGTCTTTTGTAAAACGAGTGAATTTCTTCCTCTAGTCTTTGCTTTTCGTGTTCACACAGCTTGTACATGCATTCAAGTTCTTGGAACTTTTCTTGGTTTTGCAGAAGTTCTACTTGGAGATCTTGCTTGTTTTGTAGAAGTAAATCGTTCTCTGTTTGATATTTTTCTAGCGTCTCACTCGTCTGTCCAAGCGTCATCTCAAGCGAAAAGCACTTTCCTCGTAATTCTGTTATGGTGTTGTCCTTTCCGGAAGCATCTTTCCGTAATGCATCTAAACTTCGTTGACAGTCGTAAAGGTGACTTTGTATCGTTCCTAGTTCATCCTTGCATTTCAACAGCTTTGCCCTAACGTCCTCTAACTGTTCTTTGTACTGCGTCTTCTGCCTCTGGGCCTGATTTAGTTGACCTTCGAGCTTCGTTGTTCGATGTCGAGTGCTATCCAGTTGTCTTTCCAAATCATCATTTTCTTCTTCATTTCTCTGAATTGTCTGCCTCATCTCTGATACTTTCCTCTCTGCGTGTGTAAGTTGTTGTTTAAGATCTTCTTTCTCACGCTCGCTGAATTCATACGCTGACTCGATCTCAGACAAACTCCTGTGAGCTGCATCTAGTTTTTCCTCCAGATCGTCGATTTGGCCAAATTTGTACCCGTGATCTGCTTCAAGCTGGGAAGCTTTGTGCTTGATAATAGATAGCTCTTCTTCTAGATCGCTAATGACCTTACGAGCAGCATCCAACTGTATCTCAAGATCCTTCACTTTTTCTTGAGCCCTGGCGTAAGAGTCCTCTACAGTCGTCAGCTTGTTGGTCACACGGTAAAGGTCTTTCTGAATCTCATCATTCTCTGATCGAAGTGAGCCCAAATTATTTTCAAGCTCTGTTATCCTATCTCAAGCTGACTGCAGATCGTCTTCTAATATGTTTCTCTTTTGCTTCACAGCCTGGCCTGTCACTTCGTTATGTCCCAGTTCAAGTTTCATCTGTTCCATCTTCTTCATCAAATAGTTTTTCTCGCCTTCTACCTTATCAATCTGATGACTCTTTGCTAAGAGCTCCTTTCGATACGCATCACATCTCTGCTGATGCTGGATGAATTCTTTCTGCAGATGTGTGTAATCGTCTTTGGTTTTCTTCAACTCGTCGCGAACTTCCTCGAGCTGTTCCTTCAGAGAGTCTCGTTGTTTCAGAACCACCTGCACTTGTGACTCAAACTTGCTGACCTTCAAATGATTGGTACGGATTTCATTTTGTCGATCTTTTTGGCTTTTATTGAACTCGTTTTCCACCTCATTCACCATCTTCTGAGCATTCCTTAGTTCCTTCTCTAGACTCTCGTGTTCTTGTTGCAGCATCTTGTATGCATTTTCCCACTCCTGGACCTTGTCTTTGGCCAAGCGCATCTCTTGCATTATTTCGTATCTCTCCATATCAAACGCCTCCACACTAGAGGTAGTGTTGACCAGTTGAACCTGGACGCTCTCAAGTTCCCTCTCAATAGTTTCTTTTTCCACTCGAATCTTTTTGTTTTGTGTTTCCTTAGAGTGAATATCCTTGTGGTATACTTCAGAGTCCCTCTTCAACTCTTGCAGTCTAGTCTGTGCCTTGTGCAGTTCATCTTGGTATCTTCGAGCTGCATCTCTGGTCTCCTCTAGTAATTGCTGCATTTGCTGTTTTTGCTTTGACATATTTTCTACTTGGGTCTCAAGCTTTGCAATCTTTGCCCGATCCTTTTCTCTGGTTGATTCACCCTCATTCTTTGAAGCATCGTAGAGCTTTTCAAGCTCCGAGAGCTTCTTTCGTGCCTCGATTATTTCTCTTGACAACTCGTCTTTTCTCAGTTCTGAATTCTCAAAAGCGCTCTCTATTTTGCTCTTATTTTCCTGATGAAACACTATCTCTTTTTCAAGCTTGTTAATAGTACCTCTACAACCTTCAAGCTCATGATGTAGTCTTCTTTCTTGTTCTTGTAATCTTCCGCATGCTCTTTCCAACTCGGAGTTCTTCGCATCGAGGGAAACTATCTCTTTTTGGAGCTGCAGGTTTTTTTGTCTCCACGAATCACAGTCCTCCTCGAGCTCTCTCGCATGCGCATTTGTGTCCGCGAGTTGATTTTGAAGTAATTCCAACTCAACTTCAAAACTTTTTGTGTCGGGAACATAACTTGTGGAATGATCACCAGATTCTTCAAGCACTGAGTCCAGCTCTTTTTTAAGCGCAGTGTTCTCCCTTTTCAACTGCTGCACAAGACTCTCCTTCGTTTCACTCTCTCTGGTGACGCGCTCGAACTTCCTCGCGCCGTCTTCAAGCTCTCTCTCTAATTTGCTAAATTCTACTTTACACCTCTGAAGCTCCATTGTCTTAGTTTTAAAGCTTTCTTCATTCCTTCTCAGCTCCTGAATTTCACTTTCAAGTCCGCTTATCTTGGTCTTCAATACCATGGTGTCCTGTTGTGAGGTTCGTTTCTCGCTATCACGGCTCGACTCGTACCTCGAAATGTTCCTTTGAGCCGCCAACACTTCCTCTTGTAATCTTTCCTTGTCGTTTTGAATCTTTTCACACATATCTTTCCACTGTGCGTTGTTTTCTTTCATAGAATTCAACTCGTGTTGAAGCTTCTCTCGTTCTTGTTTAAGACGTTCGCAATCTTTCTCGAACTCGGCGTTTCGCTGTCTTTCTATCGCCAAATCATTCTGCAAGTTCCCTTTTTCCCGCTGACAGGCTGCGAGCTCCTTATTCAACGTCTCAAAATCTTGCTTGAATCTCTGAATTTCAGCTTCCAGTAGTTCCTTTTCGTCTCTAAGCTGGTGCATTGTCTTGTCTTTCTTCTGCACTTCTGTACTAAGATCATCAAACTTCTTCTGCTGGTCGTACCACTGGTTAACCCTTTTCTTACCATCATCCGAAACATTCACCAGCCGTCTATTGGCTTCTTCTAATTTCTCCACCAGGCTTTGCTTTTCGCTCTGAGTCCGTTGAAGTTGCTGCTCAACTTTGTTGAATCGGTTTTCTAAAGCTTTCACATCGCGCTGAATTTCCACCTTCTCCTGTTTATATCGCTCCGTTTTAGCTTCAAACTCGCCAAGCCGCTTATGCGAGGAAAGGACTTCCTGTTGTAATTGGGCCTTCTGTTGTTGACAGTTCTCAAAGGAGTTTTTCAGCTGTGTCATTTTAGTATTTGCCGGTATTAACTCTTGCTGAAGCTGTAGCTTCTCCTTTTGACAACTTTCATATGCATTTTCGAGCTTCGACAACTTCTTGCGCGCAATTACAAGTTCATTTTCAAGGTCCAATTTCTTTTGTTCAAGTGAATCATCCACAATATCGACTCTGAAATGCTTCTGTTTGTATTCCTGCATTTCACGATGTAATCTCTCGTTCTTTTGTCGGCAATCTTCGTAGGAAATTTCCAACTCGGCAAACCTTCGTTCCGTGGCGAGAAGTTTCTCTTGCAAAATTTCCCTGTCTCGTCCAACTTCCGTTTGTGAAACTTGTGTAGCAGTGCGCGTTGACTTCAACTTATCGAACTCAACCGCGCTAGCTTCCAGTTTCTCTCGCAGCTGCCGGACCAGATTATCTTTGGCAGCGATCTCTCTCATGTGGTTCTCGTTCAGCAGGTACTGCTCTCGAAACTGAACTTTTAGTTTGGATAACTCTTCTCTCTCTGTATGACTGTGTGAGCTCAATTCTTGAGATCTTTGCTTTTCCATCTCTCTTTCCCGTCTCTCGTTCTCCAACTCTGCTTCAAGTTTGGAGATTTTACTTCTCGAAGATGTCAAATCTTGCCGAAATTTTCTCTGTTCTTGTAAATACTTGTCGCTCTCTGCTCGGCAAGCTGCCAGATCGCTTTTGAGTGTTTCCACCTCGGTCTCTAAAGTGGCTTTTGCAGCTTTAAGCCTCTGTACAAGCGTCTCCTTCGATGAAATTTCACTCTTTTGCATTTCATGGTGTCTTTGATGTTGCAAAAGCTGGGTTTGCATATTCTTAAATTCTTGAATTAATTGTTCCCTGTCAGCCTGCAGCTGGTACTTTTGCGATACGACAGCTTTTTGTAACCGTTCTTCAACTTCAGACATTTTGCTGCCGAGCTCCATCACATAATTCTCGTCAATGTTCGAACCTTCGCCTCGTCGTGGGCTTAAAGAAGCGGAGGAAGAAAATCGATACGATTCACGTGGGCTAACTCCCTCAGTTCGTCTGCCACTATCCAGGCTACGTATAATTTCCTCATAATGCGAAGCCGTATTGATTAACTCTTGTAAAGTCTGTCGGTCTTTCGAAACACTCTCCATTGTAAAGACTAATTCTTCCCTACCCTTGAAAGTTGTCGTTCCGCCAACAGAACTTCGTGAAGTTTTCGACGATGAAGTTTGTTGCTGAAACTTTAACTGACTTTCTAACCAATTTTTATCCACTCGCAGCGCGGAGAGTTCCGCTTGCACTCCGCTGAGTTTATCCAGCGTTTGCAGACGTTCATTTTGGGTTGTCTCCAGTGTTTCTTGCAATCTGTCATTTTCTTGATGCAACCTGCTGATCGTGGCGTCCTTCGCTTCTAGTTCCCCTCTCGCGCGTGCGTATTGTTGATACACCTGTTCGATGTTATGATGAGCGTCCGTCAATTCTTCCCGAAGTTGTTTAACAGCGATTTCCTTACTCTGTACCGCGCTGTGAAGTTCTTGAACCTCATTTTCACGGTAAACTCGCTCAGTGGTCACCATTCGTGTCTCTTTTGATTCCCGCACAATTTTTACTTCGTCTTGTAGTTGGCGAATAATGCTCTCCTTTCCTTCTATAGCTGCTTTAAGCTCCAGATTTTCAATTTCTAACAAGAAGTTCTCTTTACCTCTTCTGTTTTCCATTATGAAACGAGATCTCTCTTCGCTCGGGATGGCTCTGTTAAATAAAACAGTTAAGCCTTATCAACTGCAGAAAATCTCAACTATTTTATTTTAGCATTGTAACCGATAGGTGTCGGAAATTATTCATGTTTTAATTCGTCGTTAAGTTTGCGGTTTCAGACCTGAAAGATAACCCTCTAATTATTCCGAAAGGAAACCGCATGTTTTGAATTGTCATAAAAAACCGGCAGCGTCTTGGATTTTCTCCGCAAGGGGTATTGTTTACAAGCCATGAATATCTTGAATAAAAAGAAAAAAATTGGAAGACTTTGCAAAGAAAAAAAAGAACTTCAGTATTACAAATATTATTCTGTCGCGTAAATAAAACGAATATCTTGTCTAAGTAGTGCAAACTGTTTAAATACTTCTTGTAGTAGAATTTTCATGTTTTTGGGGTATGTTTGCATAATCGACCTGGTTGTTCTCTAATACAGCTTTTAAAATTGTTCGATACTGATATTTCCTTGTAACGCATGAAAATTCTTCTTCTAAAACTTTAGTTGGAGAAAATTAAAATAATTAATTGACCTATTTTTTAAAATAATCTTTAAGTCCATTAGCTCGAGTTTATTTACAATATGCTGTTGATAAGATTTACATGAAAACTTCCTGTTGATTTTAATCATAATATGCACATTCTGAAAACGTTCGCATACGATAAAAGATGAACCTTTTATCGCAGCCTGAGAGAAATCGTACGAAGGAACTCAATCAAAAACACACAACAAAACATTGCATTTCTATCATTTCAGGAAGCTAAAAACTGTTGTTAAGAAGGCCCGGTCGATATTGTTACATGAGTTTACGAAATGCGAAATCACCTCGTTCACCCCGAACTCTTAGATAAGTAACTTTGGAATATATCAGTTTTCACACGAACCTTGATTGAGTTTGATTCGGATTTAATCTAAAGATAGAACTCATTATTTTAATTTAAGTCGAAAAAATTCAAACTGAGCAAATTGCATGTTTCTACATTTAAAATTACCAAGTGAGAAATGGAAAGAAATTTTACGAGATTGGTTTTTTACAAGGTGGCTATATACTGAATGCCTACAGGTTTCTACTTTGGTCTGTGCAAATGAAATCGACATAAAACAATCTTTCGGTTTTAATGCTTAAAATAAAGCTCACCTGTTCTATGAGAAAGCTTTTTTGTATTACATTGTCAAATCAACATCTTAAACGATGCAAACTTGTAGACTTCCCTTCAAAAAGAAATTTCAAGAGCCGGAATGCCACAAGACTGAAAAAAATCTCAATATTTCCATTTTTTGTCCGGTCTGATCAACCGCAAGGTAAATAAGTTCGGTACAAAATCTTTTACCGAATCATCTTTCCTTCATTGGAAGCTGGTGGATTTGCTTATGATTCCGACAGCCAATCAGCATGCATTATTTTCCCGCCTTATTTACAAACAGCTCTAATAAAAAAATGATAGAATTTTTTTAAAATTTTTCTGTTGTATCCAGGTAGTTTAGCAAGTCTGTCAGAGGCTTTAATTCCTCAATCAACCAAAGTTTATTACGAATCTTACAGTTGCACCTAGAAGATGTTACGAATATTGTAATTCCTTCAACACTTTGAAGCTAAACCATGTACCCTTCCGTTCAAACTATGTCAAAGCTTTTAAATTATGCAACAAATTACGGGTCTGTGATAATTATCCTTGGTGTAAACATATAATTTTCCCAGCATCAGGTCCGACTTAACTACAGTTGACAACTTCTGTTCACTAAACTGACAGATTTCAAATTTCACAATAAACAACATTTACCCAGATTTAGTAATGCATGTTGGCCGGTATTGGCCTACTGACGTGGTTCAAAATTTATGGGCGATGAAATTCTAAAAGAGCAGGGGAAACAGTTTCTGTACAAACCATTTAGCTGGATTAGTTGTGTCGACAGAAATCAGTGTCGTAAAACCAAATCCAACGGAATTACACCAACTAATCAGAGCAAAGGATATACTGCAAGGAGCCACTGAGAACTCAAAGTAAAAATTGCCAAAAGGGCGGGAAAATACGCCCGGCCAAGCCGCGGTTGGTTTTAGTTTTGCATCTCATTGGTAGGCGACTTTTTTGGACCAATCACAGAGCGATGTAGGATAAGGATCTATGTCAAGTAAAAATTCTCCAAGGAAGTAAATAAGCCAGTTATTGCTATAGCCTCTATTTGCATATCATTCTATATCAAGAATAACCAGTCTTAATATTTACCCTGAGTCATAAAATACGTTTCTGGCGCCATCTGCACACTGACAGGTTTGAAAATCGCGGGCAAACTTTTCTTCTCGAACACTCTTAAGATCGTAGCTTGTTTATGATCGATTAGTGCTGAAAAAGTCGTCGACTCACACATGGTGAATTATAGAGAATATTCACTCATATCTTTCTAAAGCATTGTAAATTAATTCAGTCCGGATTGTAAGTACACTGTGGGCTGCAAATATTTTTCAGCTTTTAACTTTCAGCTGTAAAAACAACACTCATCGCGCTTTCAGTGTAACACCAAGAAATCTTAATATCCTAGATAAGTTTTAAAGTGTTGGAAATGTTTCCTTTCTTTTCATTACATTGAATGCCTGAAAACGTCAGGTAATCCTTTGACATGCCCAGACTTCTAAAGGCGACTCGAGAACATATGTCAAATAAGTACCTCGAGCATTGGGCACAAAATGAATTTTTATTTTAGCATGAATCCACGATTCTAAAGCTCACACAACGAAAGGAAACAATACCGTCATTTTGAGAGGATGCATAGGTTGTTTTGATTAATATAACGGGGTAGCAGGTGAGTTTAGCATTCGACAGAGTCCACGAAAGCGATAAACTTCGGCTAAAAAAGTCAATTAAAAACACTTATCTTTTTTTGCAATACACGATCGTTTGATACAGTCTCCACTAGTTTCGACATTTCATTTCGTTTTTCTCCTGCATAAGTTTGGTGAATCGTGGAAACAAAACCCTATTCTGTAATGTTTTTGTTCGTCGGAAAAATATTGGCGTTTATGTCAAAGTTTCAAACACTCATTGGCCCAGATAAAATATAGTGTTAAATAAAATAAACACAACAGAAAGATACGTTCAACGTTAAAATTCTACTTCGAGGAAGCATTTCTGTTCCAGAATAAAGCTACAAATTAACACAAAGGGATTGAATCACGCGGGATTTGCACTTGACAAAGACGAATTTAATTTTGTTACAACAATCATAGAAATCGCCCAGAAACAAAGAATTAAAAGGGCTTCTTTAGCGCTTGAGGTATTAAATAATTCAAACGAGATCGTTGATGCTCTAGCAGATGCGTGCTAAGGATATTATCATCGGTATTTAAACGAGAACTGGGGATATATTACGATTTTTACATTTAAAAGGCAATGTTTACCTGAATCTGTTGCGAGCGAAACAGACCACCCGCGGATAAAAACAGCAACTGATCTTTTGTCATCTTGACTCTCTCCATGAGCAATTCAAAACGATTTTTTTTTGTTACTTCATTACCATGCGCTTCATTCGAATAAATCTGCAAAGTAAAAAAAAACCTTCACGTTATCGAGACAACAGTTTTTTCCTTGCAAAAGCCAAGACTTCCTCTGTATCCCAAATGGCCCTGAATGTAAATGAAGTCACGTGGTAAGGGGCTTTGAAAGTTGCCTTGGAAACAGAAAGGGATGAGATGATGTTTTGCAAATTGTAAAATTTGTGTCTTACAAGAACTTTTAATGAAAAAAATAAGACAAAAAAACACAAAGAAGCAAATATTAGGTACATCAGTATTTAGTATGGTCTTTTTGGCTCAAAGAAATCAGATACGTTGCCTAGATTAAACTTTTCGTTCTAATTAAATTTTATAGTGAAAATAGCATAAGTATGATAATTTGGTTTTTGGCCGATGAATTCAAATTGCTTGGATTCAGCGAAATGTTGGACTCCATCCTTTGCCGAGGGAAGCACGCTTAAATTTCCACCTAAAACTGCAAACTACACGCGTATGCAAGGAACGAAACACTTGTCGCATGAGATGGAAATTGCTTCCCTGGCGACTGCATTCCTCGCTCACCCGCTCTTTCCCTCGTTCCCAGTTTCCCTTCTAACCGAAATGGGCCTGGCTTAGTTAGTTATATTAACCTTCTGGGATGTCAGAGAGACGCGGTGGCCTCGTGGTTAGTGCGCTCGACTCCTTTGAGCCCTGACTGGCGATATTGTGTTGTGTTCTTAGGCAAGACACTACTCTAACAGTGCCTCTTCACCCAGGTGTTTAAATGGGTACTAGCGACTCTAATGCCGGGGGAAAAACCTGTGATGGACCAGCATCCCATCCAGGGGGGAGTAGAAATTCTCCTTGACGCTTCATGCTACGGAAACTGGACTTACGCGCCGGCCTGATGGGCCACGCGGCTCATAAACACACTCTACCTCGAAAATCGTTTAGGTAGCCCGCCTAGAATAGCTTTGCTAACTGCGGGCTACAAAGGCCTTTATTTCTGCAATTTCAAAAATAAAGTCAATGTTGATGTTGTTGTTGTTGTTGTATGGTAACCGAGAAAACAACTTCTTCCTTAATGCAAATATTACTAAAAAACTCATCTACTTCAGTAATAACATCTAGAGAATATTACAGTATTCAGAAGATAAAATACCGTTGCCTTTATGTCTTAAAGGCATTCTAATTTCTAGAGACATTTCATTGGCTGTAACGTGGTTTGGCGGTCTAGCACCAGCGACGCCATGATAAATTAGTAACGAAGGCCAAGGATTTTAACTTGGCTGAATTCGTTTGTGAAAATACTTTGGATGTAGTTAATTAGGAGAATCGAAAATCTTGCAGAAATAACGTAATAAGCTTTATTTACTATAACGGGTATTCCATTGCAAAAGTTGAGAGTTTGCATTTGAGAATGTTTGAATTTGTAATAGGAATTCTGTAAAAGTACGTTTTAACATTAATTATGAAAGAGGGTTTTATGTAAATACATAAATATTACGAGTATCTGAAATTCCACAGATATAAAATATCTCGTACATCAATGATAATGTTTCCTGTATAGAAGAACGTTTACAAAAGAGGTTTGATATCCAGTTGAAACAAACGCTACTTGATTTTTCAGTGGCGTGAAAATACCGAAGTTAACTGGCTAATTGCACTCGCTTACAGCTTGATTTTTTCTTGGCTTTGTCAACAATATCTAACGCTTCTTTGAGCCAAGACACTTGCGTCTCTGAAGCGAGAAACTTTCGTCTAATATCTGCTAATTCCACGCACTTTTTCTCCAAACTTTTCCTCAAATGACGATTTTCTTCGTTCAACGCTGTCATATCGTCGTGTAAATCGTTGTAATTTCTTTTAAACTGCTGCAGAGTCTGGTTTTGACTCTGGCTTCGATTTCTCGCTTCTTCAAGTTCCTTATGAGTAGCTTCCAAAACGAGCGACAACTCGGAAAACTTTCCCTGGCTGTTGAGATGTTCCCTAAAGACCTCGTTCAATTCCTGACAAAGTACTCTGAACAAATGCTCACTTTTGGTAGAGTCTGTTTTCACGTTACTCCTTTCCCCGCTTGCTCCGTTGTCTCCATCAGCCAGATTTTCTCTTAGTTCATCCACGAGGCTTTTATAAGACGCAACTTCGTTTTCTAATGTCTGAATGCGCGTTTTCCTTTCGAAATCTAACTTTTCCCAGTTTTCAAAAACACTCCTCAATTCTCGCACCTCTTTCCAGTATCCTTCCATCTCCGATTTCATCTGTTTTTTAATCTCATCTTTCTGTTGTTCGTTTTTCTCCGTTTTCTTTGTCAACAATTCCATCTCGTTGATGGCTTCAACTGCTTGATCACTTGCACTGTTCGCTTCAACCCTTACCTTACTCAAATCATTCTGATATTTACCAACGAAACTTCGCAAACTTTCAACCTCTTCCCAGCTTTTTTCGTGCTCTTCTTTATAAACCACAATCTGGCTTTCTAACTCTTCAATCCGCCAAGTTTTTTCGCTTTCATTTTGTTCCAGAAAATCAATTTTCTCCTTTAATATTTTCAAGTCGTTCTCGTGGGACTCAGCTTCAGATTTCAGCTCTTCCTCGAGTTTAAATCTTTCAACAAGTTCCTCTTCAAGCCTGAGTTTAAACATTTCAAGCTGGCTTTGCACAGTCGCTAAATCTTTGCGTGTTATGTACAGTTCTGATTCAACCTCCTCACGCTCAACTCTCAATCCACATGTATCGCAATGCGTCTCTAAATTTTCCGCACATTTCGTCCACTTCTCTTTGTTCTCCACAGCCATTCCATTCAGTTCTGTGTAATTTTCTGTGTTTACATGAAGAGAATTAAATTGTTTTGAATCTTCTGATCTTACATGACCATGAACGTACTCGCAAACATTCTCGTTTCCATCTACATTTGAAGGAGACCCATCATAAGGTTTTAAAACTTCACAGTTGCCGTTCATTGCCTGCTTACAGCTGTCTTTGTAATTTGAATCAGCCATATGAACAACCTTTCCTCCCGTATCGACAGAAAAACTCCCACTGGAATCCCCAAGCGGTAGAAGCTTTTCCGGAGTCTTGATTCTAATAATTTCTCGAATATTCCTACTCCCAAACGGCGGGGACACCAGCCTTATCGTTATATGAGTCATGTCGCTGCGCTGTTTCAATCAAGTAAAATTCCCAACATCTGAACAGCACTGCACTGGTTGTTAAACAAAATTGAATTCTTGGCAATTCTTGGCTAAAATCCAAAGCTTTCATCCTCTAAAGTTTGTAATTACCAAACCTGTGAATTAAATTCCACGTATAGATTTGAATTTCAAGCAGTATTAAGTATCAACGCGCACAATCTGAATAGGCAAGTGGTTCGTGAGAATCAATTTTGATCACAGCCACCTGTAGCACTTCAAGCAATAAATTGCAATCCGCGAGCCTATCGGCTTTGATTACGCGCGAATTCTAATTAAACACGCGACTTAAATGGAGAATAATACATGGGCGCACGTAGATACGGAATTTCTCTTCTCGTGTTCGACTCGATATCTCTCTCATTCGTTGCGCTCGCTCGTGAGATACCAAGTTGAACACGTAATGAAAAATCCTATTTCTACAAGCACCCATGTATTGTTTTGTTCCTTATAGTGACACTTTAGGCCTTTACCGACAAGAATAGTCAACTTTGTCAGTGAATGAAAAAAATTTAGTTTTCGATCTTCCTTCTCGGCCGCGGGAAATCCCATTACCAAAGCCAAGTCACTTTCGATTTTCCTTTTCGTGTTCTGCTTTCCTTCCGCTTCTTAGATAATTTTGAACTTCATTGCCTGTGAGTGATACGAATCTTTCAGTGTTGTTTACGGTCATAACTCGAGAAAATTTCGACAGATGACCTTGGATTAAGAAAGGTGAACGCTTTGCCATTCATTCATCAACCTGGCCGAGTGGCGCGCGAAAGGCGAGTGACGTGTCAGCAGCTGATTGGCGATATCAAAGACACGTAAATAATTACCTCAATTTTTCACGTGTGCAGTTACGGCTTTTCTCAAGGCTGGAAATTCTAGTAAACCACTGCAGTTTTATAAAATAAATAACAATTGTGTCCATTATGTGTGACTTTTAGAACTAGAAAGTCTCCATTAGCGAACTTAAACAAGAAATTGCGATTGAAACTCGATTTTTAAAAATTGTTTATTTCATCTTTGAAATAAAAAGTGTTCTTTTTTTTTTTCGTTTTGACACTAGCATACGACAAAGAAAAATTCTGAGTCCTTAAGTGGAATCGCACGGAAGACCTTCGGATTCCTGGCTCCGATGCTCTCTTATGCTGTACCACTGAGCTTTGGAGAACTTTGTGGTGAACTAGTTCATTAGTAATTTCATACGTGATGAGCGCGCTTTTAAAGCGTGATGAGCGCACTTTCAATGTCGAAAGCCTCTTTGGAATAGAAAATGAAAAATGGTATATTTTGAGATCGGAATTGAAATAAAGAAAGCTGTTTTTCTCGTCTTGTTGCGATTTGCTGAATCGAAGGGGCTTTATTTCAGGAAGCAGTGTTACCACACCCTGGTTGATTCTCCTAATTTTCTACTGTTACATTGGAGGCAAAAAAGTTTATTGTCTGAAACTGTAGCCAATAATCTCATTGTTGTTGCGTTACACTAAGATACCGGATACACGTGAACAAGGAACCAGAAACACGTTAGTAAGGAACCGGAAACACGTGAATAAGGAACCAGACACGGGTTAGTAAGGAACCGGAAACACGTGTATAAGGAACCGGAAACACGTGTATAAGGAACCGGAAACGGGTTAGTAAGGAACCGGAAACACGTGATTAAGATCTTTGTTCTGTAAAAAGTAAAAATCTGAGTAAAAAGGTTGTCTTGTACGCTCAGCTCAAGTTGACCAGCAGATGTGATTGCAGAGAAATGTTCCTCTTGATTATTAAAAGTTTACTTGTTAGGAAACGTGTGTTGCGGCGTTTTCTACATTAGATACATTAATCACAAACTTCGAAAATATTACCCACCTTTTTTCTCCACCACTATGCCTTAAATGGAGTGCAAGAATTCACTTCTGCTGACAAACCAGCAGATTGTGAAGAACACTCAATCTCTTGAACAACAACACTTTGATCTGTTATTTTGTAAACAACACTAGCCAGTGAGGAGCCATCTCTTGAGTTGGAGGGTAGCACTGAAAGCTCACAGAGATTTGCAGCCTGCACCTGGATCTGAAGGACAAACTGTACCCAGCGTTCATAAAACGATTGTCTTGGAACTGAGTTAGTATCTATAGGAACTGTGACTGACATCATAAGCAGGCCAGAATGTTTGACTTTGGGCTGATCACTGTTAGAGAAGCAAAAATTGAATTAAACCCTAATCCCTGAGAGCGACTAGCATCTAATTTCTCCTTACAATATCAGCACTGAATCAAACATTAAGGTCAGGAGAATAAAGGAAATGATCAACAACTAAAGAAGCTCTTGACTGTTAAACAAAATGTCCTTGTCAGTACCACAGGTAGCCCTGCGAGCAGGTGGTAGTTTGTGTTTTTAAACACGAGATTCACTGCAGCGAATAATAGGCCCCCATATTGGACAGAAGAAAGATCTGGGACAAGTGACAAACCTTCCAACCATCCAATATGTCAACCAAATATTAATTTGCCACGCTGAATAACAAACAACCACCTACCTGCACACAGGTTATACCATAGGAAATGTGTAGAGAAGAGTATGAAGAATATGCAGACTTGTGTTAGGGTGCAAAGAGTTGCAATGTAAATATATGGCTATCCACCATCTTATTTGAAGGTAAGTTTTAACAAAAATAACTGATTGGTGATTTATCAGTTGGAGAACATAATCTAGCCTTACAACCCCCATAGCTTGAGAGACAGCATGATAAAAATTTAGAACAGACCTGATTCTGGTTACTTAGACCTCTTGATCTCATGGTTCTGGCAAAGCTGTCTTTTTTTGGCCAAAGTTTTCGCTGAAGACCAAGACATCAATAGTTTGGTAATTCAAACCTTAAAGGCGTCCACAAAAATATCATGAAATGAAAGAAAGTGGACTGGTTTTTTCTACTCATAACATTCAGATTTCAAATAGTAACTGTAGGCCGATGAGGTTACCAGGACTTTTAGGAGAAAAGATTCAGGCCTTTTTTCAGTAAAAAAAAATGTGCATTGCAACTTTATGATCAGTTTACAAAAACTGCCTGTTTGCTTCTTAACAATTAACTCCCACAAGTGATTAACATGTAACTTCTCCCTACAATATTCATACATTATCCAGCAAAAAAGTAACGAGAATATCTAATCTTATTAGGTATAGTTATCTTGATCTAACACCAAATTCTCGAAACTAATTTATAAGGAAATACGTGGTAGCTAAATGGGAGTTAAAGAGTTAAGCTTACATTTGCTTGGACTTTTGGAACAGAAAAGCATCCACAGTAAGAGCAAAAATCTTGGCAATTGACGACAAATCTTCGTTTCGGATATGGGCGGGAAAATAGGCATCAATATTATCCACAATAATAGAGTGAAAAACTCTAGCTGAAGACATGTGGATAGACGCCATGTGATTGAGAAATTCATCTTTCGTTTCCAAATAAACCCTCTGTATGTACTTCAAAGCGCTGCTAGAAGGCTGAGTTCTTCCGTGAGCTAGCAAAGGAAGTCTCGAGAGTTTTCTGGGACAAATGAACAGGACATGTTTTCCTTCATCTGCAAAGCTGAGTGCTACCTCAAACAGGAGCGAAGTCTTACCAACCTCAGGCGGCCCACACAACATAATTTTATCAATTCCAGAAGCATGATCTGCGTCAAAAAGTAAAGAAGATGTGCTTTCTTGGCCCTCTGGTTTAGATTCGCCGCAAGAAGGAGCATTGATGCGAAATAAACGGGACAACATCTTTTGCTTTGCCCGAAATTTTCCGCCAGGCGGAAAAATTCGAATGCGGAGAGGTCTGGGCAGTAGGCTTCTCGTCAGCTACAAAACAGTCCTTTTAGAAAAGAATTTTATTAAAAAACAAATTTTGGAAATTAAAATTTAATCCTGTAAATCTTCTTAAAATATTTTTGTGGCGCTAATTTGTTCAAATTTGAGAGTGGTAATTCGGTCTATAGCTGACTATGGCAGGAGGGAAGGAAGGCGCGAGGGACTGGTACGGAGTTCCTTTCTATCACGTGTTTCTTTCAGTGATTAGGCTTTCTCTCTTTGTACGACACGTCTCCAAGATGGCTGCACGAGGTTCGTGAAACACACTTTAATAGAAAACTTCTTCAGAAATGCTCTTGTATCATCGTTTTACCGTAGATCTATTGTTTTTGGAGCTGCGTGAATAAGAATGCAGCTGTATCTTGGATGTTTAGACAGATCGTTCGTTCTATTTGGTCGCGTGTTTACACCAACTTTCGGAAATCGAATCGTCCTGACAAATTTCTATAGTTCAGTACGTTGATTATTTTCAGAATTCTTCCCCAAATCATCGATTTTTTCCAAAGGGTATGATTAAATTATAAGCAGTGGCCTCTAAAATTGCCAGATCTTTTAGTAATTGGCATAAAATTTGGAGAATATTCTCATTGTTGCCTTTACGAAAATAGTCTGCTGTTAATGCGGTATGCCTTTGTTTTGTCTAGTTCCTCACAGGGATCTACTTATAGAAATAACAGTCTGCCCAAAAGTTTGAAAATAGATCTCTTCCTTCAATTTTATTTATTAATAAATTATTGGACGAAATGGGGTTCATTTCTTCAAAAGAATAACATGAGTTGGGTCATCAATTTCTGTCATTGTACATTTTATTTTTCTTATATTTTGCTACTGTGTTCTCAAGGGATTAATTTGTTTCTTTTTCTTTACCTAAGTTATATTCATGTTATTGTAAACACTTTGGAATCATGAGGTTGGAATATTTTAAATTTTGTTTGAATCCTCATATTAGAGCTCAGTAGAATCTTCAATACAGGGTCACTTTTATTCAAGGGGCAAAAACCTTGATCCTTACGAGAATCTTAAGTAGGGGGCAATATGACTAGTTTTGGGGATGTTCCTTGAATTGACATTCTACTGCACTCAGAAAATTATCTTTGTTTTTACCACAGAGTATTAAAAAGTTTAAAAAAAAAAGAACACCTGCTTTTTCTATAGAAATTTTGTAGCGGGAGAATAATTTATTGGAACTGGAGAAAATTCTCCAAATCTGCCTGAAAACCAGCTTAGCCCACCAACAGTTTTCCAGTATTTGACAATTTTTTACTGATGAAATAAAACTTAAGAAAATGTAGTTGCAAATTCTTGTGAAATTGAGGTGCAGTGCAGACTGCTAATAGCTCAAACTTTGCAAACAAGACTTAGAGTTTGATACTCAAGGAGTAACTAAAAAAATTCTGAAAGATATATAATGAGTCTAATGGCTGTCCAGTCACAGACTATTTCACATGTGTATCACAATATTTAATCATCTAGATGGAAATTTTGTCGTTTTATGATCTCCATTACTTAATGCTTTCACCCTCACATCAGTATGCATATTCTCCCTACTGTTCTCTATACATTTCCTATGATACTAACAAGGAGAATTTGTTTAACAATCAAGAGCTTCTTTAGTTGGTTATGCAATTATGCAATATTCGATCTGTAGAAATTTTTAAGAATTCAGTTAAGACTTCTTTTTAGGCAAACCTTTAAATAGTGGTTAAATTATGAATTCTATATAGCCAATTTAACTGTAATATGTAATTATTTTTTAATTAGATGAGATTTTAATATTTAGAGATCTCAATTGTAAAGCGCTATTGATCTGTTATTGTAAATAGTGCTATATAAGAAATAAATTATTACTATTATTATTATTATTATTATTAATACTGTCCTCTATACATTTCCTATTATCCTGACAAAGAGATTATGTTTAACAATCAGGAGATCCTTTAAGTGAAGATCATTTCCTATATTCTGGTGACCTTACTACTTGATTCAGCCAGGTTACAGTAAGGAGAAATTCAATGCTTGTCACCCACTTGACTCTAATAGCCAGTTCTCTTTTCATGACTTGTAGGTGCCTGTCTTCTTGTGGTGTTGGCCTTTGCCGTCTATGCTGGTGCAGTTTCTCTATCCAGTGTTCTGAGCGTTGAAGATCAAGTTAGGTTTAAACAAACATTCTACAATGCAATGCCTTTCAAAGATCTGAAGACGGCAGCTTATGCCATCATAGGTTTAAAACTTATGAAGGCAGAGATTCCCCCCACACAGGTACATGTATCATCAAGTTTATGAATTGTTATGGTAACACTTTTTTATCAAAATAAATTAAAAAAAAATTATCTATGAAAAAAAGTTCATTTTCTTGTTTTCTTTTTTCCCTTTTTTTTGCCACCACTGTAGAACCCCAACAACTCAAACCAGAGATAATTAAACAATATTTGATTACCCTTGGATTTGATACAATTTGTCCAATAAAATTGACCCTCAAAGCTCATTTTTAGTAAGAGTGTTACTTGATATACATTAAGTCTTTAATCTTGACTCTGATACAAATGTGATAGCATTTATGAAATCATAGTATATTTGGTTACCAACAGGGTTAGGGAAGAAAGTATAATCACTTATTTTTTTTCTTTTATAACTTTATACAACAGGATGTTTGCAAATTTGCTAAGGACAGCATTGATAGCAGCAGTGTCATCTCAATATTCTATGTATCTGCCATAAATTCTTACGCAAATTGCAAGGTTTGTAAATTTCTTTCTTGTATATTGCAATTATTTTTGGTGACATTGTACTGTGTTTGTTGCTTGTTACCATAATCATCATCATCATCATCATCATTATTATCATCATTAGCCCTGGTGTCTGCTAGATCCCAGGTTTGATAAGTCCAGGTTCAAGACCTGTCCATGTATTTGTGTTCTTGGGCAATACACTTTACTCTCCTACTGCTTCTCTCCACCTAGGGTTGTAGATGGGTACTGGCAAACTGTCAGGGAAGCTTGATGATGTGCAGGGGGTGGGGGGGGTAACCTTGCAAAAGACTAGCATCCCTTCCAGGGGGGAGTAATACTCCCAGCCACTTCATACAAAGGAAACTGGGATCAGCTACTTGGTTTGAGTATAGATTGTTTTTTTATCAGTTATGTGTCCCAAGTAGGGAATAAAGACAAAGGATCAAGCTCTCTTGTTTCTTATCAACCTACCTCATTGCACACACGGCTCAGGATGTACAGTGTAAACTCTATTTTTTTTATTAAAGGGGTTAAGTTTCTAAAGAAACTGTGGTGCTGCGTTGGTGGGGGGTAACAAGGTAATTAGGTTTTATCAACTAAGTTGAAATTGTAAATTGGCCACCGTAACAAGTTAAAAAGCTGACATTTTGAGCGTTAGCCGTTTGTCAGAGCGTGTGATGAAGGGCTAATGAAATTGCTCTGATGAAAAGCTAACGCTTGAAACATCAGCTTTTTAACTCTTTATGGTGGCCAATTTACAATTTCAACTTAGTTAATATAACCAAATTACTCTTTTTTTTTTTTTTCACCCATCACGAGATTGCAGTGCTCCACATATAACCTCTCCTTGTAATATCCACACGTTATCAAACAAGCTAGTGACAAGAATACTGAAACATATCTGGAAAAAGTTCCTATTTTGATCTGACTCCAAATCTCACAACTAATTTACAAGGAAATCTATAGCAGCTGGAGGGGAGAATTCACAATCTGATCTTGGGAGTCGAAGGGTCAAACTAGGATAAGCTATGACAACATCCATAACTCCACTCACAAAATTACAACACCCGTTGCCTCAATGCAAACCGCAATGTGTTTGTAGAAAGTCAAATTACAGCTGTCTTTGTCTTTTCTAACTACAGTTCCCAGCTGTACAGGGGGTGGAAGCCACTTTATCAAATGCTGCTAAAGAAGGAACAGACATGATAAAACTATATCAGGCAGTGTCAGCACAAGCTTATTTGGGGCTGAAAGGTATAGAGATGTTGATGATATATAAGTTAAACTCTGTCTGAGGTTTTGAGTTTGGTCTTTAGCCACACCGAAGACCAAGGTCACAATTTTTTTCCCAGATGGACTGACTGAGGTTGGTAAATAACTTGCCAAGTCTTTTTTCTGCCAAATAGCTTTTTATGGCATGGAAAAAATTTTGGACCATGGTCTGTCTTGTAAAAAGCTGGACTGAATCAGACTTGAAAATTTAAAGTTCTGGCTCTGGTTGTTCAAAGGGCGGATAGCGCTATCCAACAGATAAATCACTGTCCAGCGGATAAGTGTTACCAAAACGTACTGCGCTATTCACTGGATAGGGATTTATCCACTGGATAGCGTTATCCATCCTTTGAACAACCGGGGCCTGGCCTGTTGAGAAGCTTCTGAGAAAATAATGTATTTTTCTACATAATTGAGTTCTTCGAAATGTTTTAAAGTTATTCCAGGATTGGAGTAATTTGGAAGAAAAGTTTAATTTTTACATTGTTTATTGATTTTAGTGGACACAGCTGAAGTGCTGAAGGCTGTGAAGGCAGCTATCAACTCAGATGAAGACAGTATCCTTGGGTAAGAAGAATATTCAATACTTTGTATATCTGTTTTTTTTTTTGTTGTTGTTGTTTTTCCCATCAATTTATAGTAGAATTTTGAGAGAGGAAGAAAAGAAACTGGGTGCTCATTTTTCACTTACTAGCTTTTCATATTTCCAATAACTGACAGTGTTTGAAAGACATGTTTCTCTATTGTTGATTTCAGGGCAGCATATGCCATGCTCTTAGCAACTAAGCTTAAAAAAGATGCTGATGTGTCATTCATCACTGACTTGATTGAGGTAATATGCTTAATTCTCTTTACTGTCTAACATAAAATTATCATGATGCTAGTTCAGAGAATTTGGTATTGGATCAACTAATAATCCCTTATTTATATATTTCTTAATTCTCATCACTTGTCTGCTTGATATTGTATTGATAACATAAGGAGAAATTCTCTCTTGATCAGGTATGGGAGTTAACCCTTTAACAACCAGAACTGATTAAAACATGTAACTTCTCCCTACAATATCCACACATTATCCAGCAGAGAGTTTATGAGAATATTCAAATGTATCCAAGGCTGTGCTCTAAGGAAAATTGAATGGAGCCCATTGCTCTGAAACTGTGAAATCCAGGGTGCCCAGCATATGCTTTGCATGAAAAAACTAATATTTCCGAGTAGCCCAAGAGCAAAAGTAAGGCGCCAGGGGCCACCGGGTGCTGTTGGAGCACAGCCTTGGTATCAGTGAGAAGTTATCTTGATCCAACACCAGATTCTTGGAACTAATTCACAAGAAAATGTGTAGCAGCTAGAGGGGAGAATTTATAATCAGATCTTGGGTGTTATAGGGTTAACAGGTTTTTTTTGCATCTCCTTGCTACTTAATTTTGCCACAGGATTAACTCTTTTGACATTTCTTTAATTTGTGTTTCTTCAGGATACAGTGGCTCAAGCTGATGAAGTTGACAACAGCTATTTGCAGGTGAACTTCATTTCTGCATTAGAATACAAGTGAATTTTACACAGATTACATTTCAGAACAAACCTCTACTGTATTTTCCAATCAATAGGGTCACTGTTCACTCTCATCTATACTCTAAATGGATCTTTTATTAACTGTCAAAATGCTTTTAGAATGAAAAGCCATTTTCAAATTTTTTGTCAGTCCCCATTTTGATAGGATTGTAGTGACACTTGTTCCTTTCTTTGGTTTCAGTTTGAAGCTGGACTCTTAACAACGTCAAAAGTGGTTTCTGCCATTTATTTATACTCGGAACACATCAACCAGGCTCCAGCCATTACTGAGGTAAGGGAAGATGTTATCAATAATTCCCTCTTGCCATTATCATTATCATTATCATAATGGTTATCATATGAATATCATAACTTTCATCAGCATTATCATTGTCATAGAGATTATTCCATGGATAGTGCTCACAAACGATTTTTATTCACAAGTTGCGATGCATCAGAAAACTCACTTGTTCATTGCACTCACTCGTAATTTTTTTTTTAACATGGTAGTAATCACTGAAAAATACATACTGTTCTTGATTTCAATGCTCACCTTCTAGGAACAAGTTATCAAGTTTGCCAACTATCTTCTCACAAGGAAGCATGTTCAATCAGTGGAAGACTCGTGTGTTCTTTTCTTGGCCCTGGACAAACTTGGCAACAATGCAGTGAGCATAGCTTTTTTTCTTTATTCATTTTAATAAGATGTAACAAGTTTTGACTGGTGTGGTGTGATTTCATGTATCAGAAGTTTCAGTAACTTTCTGCTGTCAATCTTGGTACATTATTTTGTAGCGTTAAAAATGAACAAAATGGTGTTGTAGTTATTAGATATGGTGATCTGAAAATGGCAACTTTATTATTTTGCTTGCTCTTCTTTTCAGTTCCATGTGCCAGTTGTATTCCAGTTGTATGGCTCTCCAGTTGTTTCAGATGACAACAAAATGGTTAAGGTAGGTGCAAATTTGAGTGAACTAATTTTTCAAACCTGGCTCGTCAAACTTTATGAGTAAATAGTTTCTAAACAAACTGTGGTACTGCATCAGTGAGAGTAACAAGGTAATTTTGGTTTTATCAACTAAGTTTATAATGTAAATTGGCCACCGTAAAGAGTTTCAAAGCTGATGTTTTGAGTGTTAGTCCTTTGTCAGAGTAAATTAATTAAATTTTATATTCATGCTTTTTATCCTGAGTTATTAGCCATTTAGCATTTGACATCCCCTCCTCTTATAATTCTTGATATATTATGCCTTTAACCCCTGATAGTGACCAGCATCTAATTTCCCCTAACTTACAATATCACCCCTAAATCACACATCATGGTCACGAGAGCAAAGGAAATGATCACCAACTAAAGAAACTCTTGATTGTTCAACAAATTCTCCTTGTCAGCACCTTGAGAAACATATAGAGAAAAGTGTGGAGAAGATGCATACTGATATAAAGGGTTAAGTATCATAAATACATGTATATCCTTTGCCTTAGGTCCGTGTCACTAATGTGATGGACAAGGCTTTTGGTAAAATGACAGTCACTGGTACATCTGCCGAAGATGCTGAGGGAACAACAGTCCTTAGCAACAAAGTGTTCACTGCTGGACCTGACAAGTGAGTGGTTAAACTAATTTGATCAAATCACCTCTTTAGATCAGGGTTACATCCAGCCAGCGTGTTTGCTGGTGTGTTATTTTGAGGGGAAGAAAGACTGTACTAAAATTGTATTTCTGGCGACCAAGATATAATTTCAAGTTGCAAATGGCAATCTTGAAGATAGTTAAGTGTAAAATCCCTGAACGTTATCACACTAAGATCTTGTGGGTAATTCTCCTTGCCGTCTGCCATACAATTTACATGATGTAAGTTGGTAGAAGTTGTTATTAGATCAACTTCTAATCCCCTAATATGTATTTTTCTTTATTCTCATCATTTGTCTGCCTGGTTTTGAATAGATGTTGTAAGAAGGAATTCTGTCTTGGTCAATCATGGAAGTTAAAGGGTTAATTAGATAAGAGGTGTTTGTTAGATGATTAAATTAAAGATTGATAGCACCATGTGTATAATAGACATGTTTTAAAACAATTGTTAACCTACCAACTTAGTTTGTCTCATAAATATAAGGGTGAAAATGAAAAATTGCAGACAAAAGTATGTTCCAACATAAAGCTATGCACTCTCGGGAGAGATCAAGAAGTAATTTCTCCCAACAGCACCAATGTATTTGCAAGCATGAAGGCAATAAGAAGATAGATGAGATATTTATAAGGCAGGGCTGGACACTAACTTTTCAACTTACTAGCCAAGTGGCTTGTGACAACTTAGATGTCACAACAATTTCAGTTTGTTTACCAGCCAAACAGGCTTGTGAAAATCAAAAACCAATGGCCAAAACTGACTTTCTACTAGTCTGTGGCTAGTGGGCTATTGTTAGTGTTGAGCCCAGATAAGAGGGTAACATTGTTTGAATTTACGCTAAATTCTCAACACTGAAATTAAAGGAAATGTATGGCAGATAGTACAGAGAATTGATATTTTGACCATGGGAGTGTAGAGGTTAAACCTTGATAAAAAGTAATTAATCCTTAAACATTTTTTTTTTAAATTAAAATGAAAAATATCCCACCACAGTGACTTCATTGTTATTGAGACTGACCTTGGGCGTGGCATGTTTGCGGCACATAGGTAACAACAGTAACACTCCTTAACCCTTTAACTCCCAGAAGTGATTAACATGTAACTTCTCCCTATAATATCCCTTCATTACCCAGCAGGCAGGTAATGAGAATACTTAAACTTATCAGGTAAATGTTGTTATTGTGATGCAACACCAAATGTGTGGCAGCCAGAGGGGAGAATTAATGGTCGGATTGTGGAGTTAGAGGGTTAAAGATAATCAATAAGTAAGATCCAAATAAGAAACCATAAGTTAAATGAGTAACTTTTAAATTTCCAAAAGGTCTGGAAAGGAGCAGACTGACAGCAATTTGTATAAAAATAATGACACATTTGAAACTAAATTTATATGACATGTTTCCGTCGTTCAATGACCATCTTCAGTTGAGAGTAGAACTGATTTGAAATTACATTTGAATTTATAATGTAGTACTAAACAAAAGCTATTGAAACTAACAGAATACCCAAACCTTTGAACTTATGGTAAATTTCAGAGACAACTTAAAAAGTATGATATTTAACGATTTTCATATAAACTTTTCCTAGACACTAAAATTAATGAAATCTAATAAAGAACCTCGTTCTATGGGTAAATGAGCCATTCATCTTAAAAAAAAAAAGAAATAATAAACTTGAATATGCTTCTTTAAAACGTAACTTGAAAATTGTTCTTAAAGATTTTATTTGTAGACCCCAATTTTAAAGATATCAGGGAATTAACCTATAAAGGTTTAATATGGAAAAAAAAAACAAAAAAAACTCAGGCTATTTGTTGAATGTCAATGGTATTTCCGCTGTAGTTTATTCATTAAGATACAGATTTATTAATTTTTTTCTATTTTTACCCAGCTATGAATTAAACTTCATGACGTCAAAACCAGGGCCAGGAGTTTATACAATCAGCATCAGGTCAGACGGTGTTTCCCGACTTAGAAAATGCATTGAATTCACTTTATCCACGTATCGAATCGACCGCAATTTGTTTTGAGTCAACTTATATCAAAGCAACTTTTCTCCTAACAGAGAAAATTTGTTTTGCATGCACATCTATCAGCTAAATTTCTGGACTGAAAGGAGCTTTAGGAACTACCCTTTTTCGCATCGACCTGATTATATTTGTTGTTAGTCTATGAGTGTATACCTCAGTGTAGCTAACGATACTGGAACGATGCAACATAAAAATATCTTATCTCCACCGAGACTTCTCTGACACTGTGAGATTTCTTGACTAACCAGGAGATTACATTTAATCAGTGTAACTTAAAAGAGAAGAATGCTCTTTGATAATCTTGAAGACCGCTGGAAGGACATGTATTTGTATGGTATTGTCCTGTCATTCACATTTTACCCTTCAGTTGAATCGTTGTCGAGCATATGAATAATGCTCTTTATTGTCATTTACCCAGTGTTTGGTTTATTTATTAGCGCCAAACCACACAAAGAGGACAAACGCCTTTTGGGAGCCACCAGTGGCCAGGTAAATCTCCTTGGTATTTTGTGTCCCCATTAGTTTTGATCATTTTAAAATTTCTTGATGATGGTTTCAGTTTTATCCACAGCTATAATGTGTGCGATTTTTCTTCGTATATATATGAAAAAGAATAATACATTTTTTCCACGAGTTGACGACGAGGACAGAAATACTATATAAATCTATACAAGCAACCGCGAGCTATTTTTGTTCTTTAAATATACACCATAGGCCTTAACCACCTCCCTGTTAGCTCAATGGATAGAGCGCTGGACTGTTGTGCGGGAGGTCGAGAGTTCGAGCCCCGGCCGAATCAACACTCAGGGTCTTAAAATAATTGAGAAGAATTTGCTACCTTTCTATAACATCAAGTTTTATGGTTAGATATTGTAGTCTT